AAACGTAATTTGATATATGTTATACAAGAATAACTTAAAATAAATATACTCTAAATAAAATATAAAATAAAAAATGTCAATATAGGTTCAAATCCATCTCAGACTTGTGAAATACTTATATTATGATTGTAAAAGAAATTGTATTTCAGTGTTGGTTTTTTTTTTTTAATTTTTGTCATGGAATTTATATTTTTACACGTTTACGCATTAGTAATATAAGATTTTTTTATTAAATATGGGATGAATTAGTCCAGCCGTTGTCATTTTTGTTTCTCATTTTATTTAATTAATGTAGAGTTATTTTAAATTATATTTGAATTGCGTATTCAAAATACGTTGCATACATAGATGTTAAATACTTGTAAATGTGTGATTTTACCAACAAGTCAATGTAGCCTAGTGGGTTCCAAGATGCAAATCCATCATTTTGGTCGTGAGTTCGATTCCTGGGGGCTACGGATTTATTCATTTTGGTCGTGAGTTCAATTCCCGGGGGCTACGGTTTTTTTTTTATATTTTAAAAGAATATCCATATGGCTGATGACGTGGAATGATTGATGACGGTGAATGATGTGGAGTAGGTGATGTGGCGGAAATTGGATGACAAGGAAAAAACTACCCTCATTTGGTAAATAAGTTTAAAAGTACCCTTAATTGGGAAATAAGATTAGAGACTACCCTCCTTTGGGAAAAAACTCGGAATTGGCCCAGAAACAAAGTAATTGACGGTTCTGGTCCCAAACCAGAACCGGCCCAAGGCTGGATATGCATAGAACCGGGTCCTTCCCTATCCATGAACACTCCTTCTAAAAAGTAATTTTATTTATATTTTAAAGACATTTTAGAAATTAGAAATGATAAATCACGAGATTTAATAATAGACCATGAACTTGTATTAATGTAATTTAAAAAAAAAAGGTAAAATATCATAGTTCAAAACGACTATTTTTTTTTTTTTTTCATTTTTAGAGAAACGATGCATATTTAATATTCAGTTTAATATTTCTCTCTACGTAGTCCTTACCCCTGCTGCAAGGTGGTTGGGGATATGGTAGATACGGAGTATTATTTTAGGTTGGCTTGCTAGCTTAGATAATTATTTTTTATACATATACGAGTATTTGTTACTTTTGGATGATTTTAATAGGAAAAATAATTTTAAATAATACAAACTATCTTCCGTGAATCAAGAATAATACATACTTTGAAAATAAGTTTTAATAATACCAACTAGTTAAATATATACCAAAAGTAATATAGAGCATTTGTTTTACTAAAAATTCAACCATTTAAATCATCAAAAACTTGTATCAAAATATCCAATTAGTGAATATATTTCAAAATATCATTTATTTGATGGGTTGTCATTAGCTTTTGATTTCTTAAATGATCGATTTTTTTGTCAAAAAATAACTCCGTATTATTTTTGTTTTACATTCAAATAGTTGGTATTATTAAAAATCATTTTCGAAGTTTGTATTATTATTGATTTATTAATGATAGTTGATATTATTTAAAGTTATTTTCCCATTTTATATACTTCCATTTCATCCAAAAAAACAAAAATTCAATTTAATATTTTTACGGTGTATGAGAATGAAGCATGGGAAACAATTGTGGACTGGGTACAACTTGAACATTCAACATTTGTCCAAGAGCTGTTAATTATCAATCTTTTACTTGAACATGGGCTATTAGCAGAGATAAGCGGAAGAAGATGAAAAAGAAGAAAATGATCTCATTATCATATAAAGCTTGAACAACCAGTATTTATAGTACAGGGATAGTACGCTATCTATCTAACTGTTCTAACAATATCTGAACAAACTAATAGAAAGGCTGTGCTATTGTATATGCATCTTCACATAAGCTACTCCTGTGACTGCACAAATTGCTGCTTTAGTTTATACCCTCCCTCAAACTGGATCGTATATGGAATGAAGGCCAAGCTTGGAGATACCCTGTTGAAAAGCTGTGGGATATAAAGCTTTAGTGAAAGAATCAGCAACTTGATGATCAGAAGGAACAAAGAAAAGTTTGATGAGTCCTTCATCAATCTTTAACCGAATGAAATGGCAGTCCACTTCTACATGCTTTGTTCGTTCATGAAAGGAAGGATTTTTAGCAAGCTGAATGGCTGAATGACTATCACTGTAAACACAGAATGGAAGTTTAACAGTGATGTTTAAATCTTGAAGCAAAAATTGAAGCCATTGCAATTCACAAGATAAAGATGCTAAAGCTCTATATTCAGCTTCAGAAGATGATCTTGAGACTGTGCTTTGCTTCTTGGATTTCCATGATATGAGAGAGCTTCCAAGGAATATGCAGAATCCTGTAATGGATTTTCTAGTGTTAGGGCATGTGGCCCAATCTGAATCAGAAAAAGCCTGAATAGTGAAAGTATTGGAAGATGAATAGAACAGACCACGTCCTGGAGAGTTTTTGAGATATCTGAGAATTCTTAATGCAGCATTGAAATGTGTATCCCTGGGATCTGAAACAAATTGACTGAGGTGTTGTACTGCAAACGAGATATCAGGTCTTGTATTGGTCAGGTATATGAGTCTGCCAATCAGTCTTCTAAAAGATGTAGGATTGTCTAATGGAATGCCAGAGTCTGAAGTCAACTTGTGTGAGGGATCAATTGGTGTAGGAGCTGGTTTACACCCTGTGAGACCAAACTCATCAATGAGTTCTAGACAGTATTTTCGTTGATTGATAAGTAAACCTGCTTTGGAGCGAGCTACTTCCAGTCCAAGAAAATACTTGAGATTCCCAAGATCTTTAATGTGAAACTCATTATGTAAATATGTTTTGACTCTGGTTATTTCATTTGAGTTATTGCCAGCAACTATGATGTCATCTACATAGACTAAAATTGCTGTGAATTGAGAATCAGATTTTCTGATGAATAAGGAATAATCTGCAGAACTTTGTGTGTAGCCAGTATGAATGAGTGTGATGGATTATATGGACTCCGACCCCCCGGCATGCCGACTACTAGGCCTGGACAGCGGCCCACACACGTTTAGCGGATATCATTAATATTATTGTACATTATTATTATTATTCAGATGTTCTAGATTAGCTTTTTATACTATCAGTCCATTTATGTAACCGGGTCTGTCAGGCCCATATTAGAGGCCCAGACCCGGATTTCCCCTATATATACTCCTTATAAGAGGCTTGTAACTCATATAACCAATACTCATTCTATACACATTTCCTTCTTCTCCATTACTCCTTTTGATTCTTGTTCAATTTCTCCTATTCATACAATATGGATATCAATTATCCAACAATGGTGCTCTCATTGAGAGGTTGAACACAATCAAGTGAGAAAACCTCCCCAAATATCCAAAAATTCATCTCAATCACAAAATTATGGCTGAAAATGTGTTCGAATACATCAAGGAAGGAAAACGAAAATCTGGAAATCCCAGGTCTAAGCCTGTCGTCCACGCCGTGGATCTCGTGAACTGCATGAGCAGCCGGCCGTACCTCACCGCATAACGATGGCATCGGTAGCTCGAAGTGACCTCTAGCTTCATATCAACGCCTCTCTGTTCACTGTTCTTTCCAAACTGAAGCTAAACAGATCTGGAACGAACGACAAGAAAAAAATGTGGAAGTCAGAGATCCGGGTCGCCGTCCACCGTCAACACCGCCGCCGTGCACCGTCTGCCATGAGCCGGCACCTGCTGAGAAGTAAAGAACTAAAGACGCTCTCTGCTATTTTGCCTCTGCTTTCAATAAAAGAGGCCTCGTCATCTCCATTTCGAGTTCAACCTCGCCTCAACCTCGCCTCTGCTCCAAGCCTAGCGGAGGATACGGATCTGCGCCCACCCAACTGTCCACAATGACGTTGAGATCGATGTGGGACCTCCGGCGCTCTGTTCATCCCCACCGTAATTCGAAGGTCGGAACCAGGGGCATAATTGACATCCCCATCGTCGTTTGAGTCAGTTGCTCGAGATTGATCCCAAACGTCAGCCATTAATGGCGGCTAAAATCTCCAGGAGTAAAAGATCTGAACTCCACTGCTGACCCAGCTTGAAGGGCGTATCAGTTGTTGCCGACGTTAAAGAACCTTCGCCAGCGCTACCTGAGCTCTAGCAAGCTGCTCCTGATCGTTTTTTGCTCTGCCTCCGGATCAACCTGAGGGAACTCCGCCGGAAGTATAGCCTGAGAGGGCCTCGCCGTCGTCTTCCTCAGTAGCTGCGTCATCTGCCTGAGTGTACTGCTTTCTTGGGTCTTGGTTGCAGGCAAGATCTGCTTACCGGAGAGGAAAGCCGGCAGGAGCACGTTAGAAGGGGGGCTGGTTAGGCATTAACAGCCTGTAGCCCAGTGGATATCATCACCTCCCCTTTCTGTCGGTAGCAGATACCAAGATACATACACCCTGGCTTGTCTGTGTCGTTCGCAGAAGCTAGAAGGGTGCGGTGTATATGCCCCAGTTGACCGAGTCAACTCTTAAGTGTGCTGGGGAGTTATCGGCCAAGCTTTGAGCAGCGGGCCAAGGCTACACTCCAAAACTGAGGATGGGCCACAATTTTAACAACACTTCAAATTCAGTCCACTTGAAAAAGATAAGTACTCTTTAATTCTTATATTATTTATATTTATTTAAATCACTTTTTGTCAATAAATGTCACACTTTCACGCACTTATGATCAAATGCCTAGTAGAGTGTGGATTGAGACCCATCACTATGATTTAAAGCCCTGACCTCTCAGGCACAAAGCCCTGGCCCTGATCCAGGAACAAAGCCCTGGCCCTGATCCAGGCACAAAGCCCTGACCTCTCAGGCACGAAGACCGGTCTTAGTCATTCCTCGAGTGGCGACCGTTGCTTATGAATGGCTCACACATCCATTCTACTAAGTATTTTATCATTACATTAACAATTCACATCTCCACTTGTTTCAAGTGACGAACTCCCGTTCGGGAACATAAATCCCAAGAAAAAAATTTATATGTATGATAAATGTGTAGGTACGAAGATGACTTTACTCATTTTCTGTCACGCCCCGGACCTCCCCGGACACGTCAACAACCCGCCGTACAATACGAATAGTCAACCGCAGTTCAACACATTCATATTATACAAAGCGTCTTGAATATCATTCACACATAAACCATCCATAAACAAACATAATAAGTAATTCATAACGCAGCGGAAAACATTGTTTAAAACAAAAGGGCCACACATGGCTATTCATGAGCACGCAGGCTCCATTGTAAAATATCCATGAGCATGTTTATTAATGTTTAAAAACCGAATGGAGGAAGCACGAACCAAGTCTTCCCTCCTAGATGATCACTCGAGCAACGAGCACAGGAAGCAAGCTCTAGCCTCAACCTGAAAAATGGTAGTGGGACGCCCCCGAAGGGGTCAGCACTCTATAGGGCTATAAAGTGCTGGTGTGGATGGCATCTAATAGATATACAACAAGTATTTCAAACACAAGACCCTCAAATAGGGTGATAATATAATCTAGGCCGTAACCCCAAGTTACCCCTTTTCAAAAATATACTTACTTTATATATAAAGTCAAGTAGTCGGCCCGTAGGCCCAAGGTTTGTTTATCAAACATAGCCCAAAACCCCGTGACCCCTAGTCACAACAATACATAGGGTTCAACCCTAACACATATGTTTGCATTCTCGAGTCCAACTCGACTACATCACCATGCACCTTAATTAACATAAGCTAACTACTCCACCGTGCATTTCTCGAGTCCAACTCGACTACATCACCATGCACAACAATCACCTCATCATGTCTACCCAATGCAATTCTATGAGCACGGGCTCAAGTACATCTCCTTACATTGGCATAGACCCCAATTCCTAAGCACTCACTATGCCTAGAATTGTAATATCAATAATCTATTTTGGGACATCCCTACGGACTGCCCAACCATGGTCTTAGCATCACATTACATCAAATTTGTCACTTGCATCACAATCAAGTACATCAATTATAATCAAATCCTTAGATTCAATTCCCTTAACAATTACAACAATCATTAACTAGTATTTCAATACTATTAAGATTATTCTTATCCATCATATATTCCATTTGTAAAACCCTACATATTTAGAGATATGTAGCAGCAACTTAATCATTCAATGTAATACATAAATAACCATTTATGTATCTACACAATTCACATGTGAGTAAATGCCTATTTCACACAATAGTTCATTTAACTCCATTTTTATCAATACTTTACCAAATCACTTCCCATTTCATTCTTTGGAAAATAGATCAATATTTCATCAATAATTTATCATAATAATCCATGGAAAACATGATTTAGGCATTTAGGTAATCTCATGCTTAACCTACAAGTTGTAAGCAACTAGATGTCGATCCTCACCTCAAATGAGCTTTAAAACTTTCCTTCTCGATCCAATGACCAAAGCCTCGGCCAAGGAAGATTGAGAACTGGTTCCTTGCTTGAAAATGGGTGTTAAACAGCTTCCTCAAGTTGCTAATTCAACCCCTAACCGTTGATACGAAAACAGCCCCTAGAACGGGTGTTTTCCGGCTAACTCGATTCCTAGTTTTCCAATATTTGCTCTAGGTTAGTATCTAACCTTTACATCAATAAAAATAACTTTACAAGGACATATTATACACTTGGATTAGTGTACAATAGTCCCACCAATCGTTCATATCATTTGGAAAATGAATGGAAAGGATTTGGGATTAACAACTCACTTAGAAGAGTAAATCCGTTCCTGCGAGGTCGCGTTCTGCTCGGGCGATTTGGAAGCCTTCCTCTACTCCGATTGATGCAAACCAGACCTTCACGGATTCCTCGTCTTGAGAGCTTTCTTTTGGTATCTCACACGCTTTAATTGGACTGGTAAAACTCGAGATATCAACCAAACAGTCTCAGCACTCTCACAGCTCGAGTTCACAGACCACTGCTCGTTCCAGATCGATTTTTGGATGATTACTCTCTCCTCTCGAACTGAGACCACTCAATTATAAAAATAGACTTCAAAAGCTATCCAAGGACACCTCATACACGTTATTTGGTTGAGGATAGCTCCTATAATGAGAGGAGACAAACAGCACACCAATTTGTGCGAAAATAAGAGTGGTGGCCCCAAACTTTGATTCTTATCAAGTCATGTGCAGCTCTTCTCCATAATGGCCGGCCAAGGTAAGTCTCCTAACCCATTTTTATTTGTCTTGCAGGTACTAATATCATGTGGAGTGGTTCCCAATTGATCCCAATCATTTTGGGATCCAAATTATCTACCAATACTTCCAAAAATGGGGAAAATGGGTCCTATTGTTTTATCTTTGTCAAAAGATGTCTTTTTGTACTCATCCTAATTTATTTAGAACAAGTCAACTTCTCAAATCACATTATTGATCTCCAATATGTGTAGGCTCATCCCAATAATTTACTTGATAGATATTATAGAAGGAAAATCCTACTCCCATTATTTAGCTCAATAAGGCCAAAGGTGGGGTTATAGGCATTTGTATTCTTCTTTAATCATCCTATCACTTATTTGACATTTGTCATACATATTATTGGGCTACTAGCCGTGTGGGTCACTCCCGAGTGGGTCTAGAACGCCATTCTCGAATACTTGCTATTTTAGCAGGTTGGGCTCAAAATAACGTTTGGGCCGTCCGACCTTACTCGGATTGTCTTGCAAGATTATGTATCACTATTTGGAAAATGTTGGGCTCTTTTATTTATTAATAAGACCCAAGTGGTATTTGCATGCCCGACACTAATATACGAGTTCGAACAGTACACTAATCGATCATTAATTACGTAAAACATTAATCGTTTTACAAATGTTTGGGAACCAGAAATCCAATACATAAACTTTGAATTTTAAATTAAATTTTCAAGGACGCTCGGAAGCGGTGTCACAAGTTCACCCCCCCCTTAACAGGAATTTCGTCCCCGAAATTCACGGCTCTACTCGAATAGGAATGCATACTGCTTCCTCATCAAAGCTTCTGTTTCCCAAGTCTCTTCTTCGACCCGGTCACTCTTCCAAAGGACTTTAACCATTGGAACTTCTTTACTCCTCAGTTTCTTCACCTTTCTATCGGTGACCTTGATAGGTTGAACAGCGTAGTTCAAATCCTCACGTACCTCTACAGGTGGCTTCTCCAATACGTGAGAGGGATCATGCACATACTTCTTAAGCATGGATACATGAAACACATTATGTATCTTCTCTAACTCAGGAGTCAACTGTAGACGATATGCAACGGCCCCAATCCTCTCTATAATTCTGAATGGACCTATGTACCGTGGGTTAAGCTTCCCTCGGGTTTGAAATCGAATGATTCCTTTCCAAGGAGAAACTTTCAAGAATACCTCGTCATCAACCTTAAACTCTAAGGTTCTTCGACGCTTATCTGCATAACTCTTTTGCCTATCCTGAGCCGCTTTGAGTCTCTCTCGAATCAATTTCACCTTTGATTTGGTGACCTCAACCAACTCAGTACCCTCGAGTTTGGCCATGCCAACCTCGTCCCAGCATAACGGTGTACGACACCTCCTCCCATACAATGCCTCGTATGGAGGCATGCCGATGCTGGCCTGATAACTGTTGTTATAGGCAAACTCCACAAGTGCTAAGTGGTTGTCCCAACTTCCTTGGAACTCCAATGCACAAGCCCTCAGCATGTCTTCCAAGATCTGTATGACTCTTTCAGACTGTCCATCCGTCTGTGGGTGGAAAGCAGTACTGAACTTCAACCTCGTTCCCATAGACTCCTGAAATTTCGGCCAAAAACGTGATGTGAATCGTGGGTCTCTATCGGATACAATGGTCACTGGGACCCCATGCAGCCTCACGATCTCATCCGTATACAATTTGGCTAACCTCTCAAGTGGGTAGGTAGTGTTGATAGGCAAGAAGTGTGCACTCTTTGTGAGCCTATCCCCAACGACCCAAACTGCATCATAGTTCCTGATTGTCCGTGGTAAACCTACCACGAAATCCATAGTCACGTGTTCCCACTTCCATTCAGGAATGGAAAGTGGCTGCAATAAGCCTGCTGGATGCTGATGTTCCGCCTTAACTTGTTGACAAGTAAGGCATCGACTAATGTATTCGGCTATTTCCCTCTTCATCCCAGACCACCAGTAACTTTCTTTCAAGTCACGGTACATTTTCGTGCCCCCCGGGTGCATGGCATAAGCCGATGAATGAGCCTCCTCTAAGATGGACTTTCGGAGCTCCTCATCTGACGGTACACACACTCGGTCACGAAATAACAAGAGACCATCATCTCTTTCCCTGAAATCCTCCACCGGTCCCGCTTGCATGCGTTCCCGGACCTTCATAAGTTCTGCGTCAGTCGCTTGACCCTTCTTGATCTCATCAAGTAAGGTCGGTCTCACTTCAAATCGTGCCAATAAGGCACCGTCGCTAGATACATCCAATTGGGCCCTCAGTGCCCTCAAACTAGTCAACAATGCCCCAGACGAACTCTTCCGACTCAGGGCATCTGCTACAACGTTTGCCTTGCCTGGATGGTACTCAATAACTAGATGATAGTCCTTTATCAACTCCATCCACCATCTCTGTCTCATGTTTAACTCTTTCTGAGTAAACACGTACTTCAAGCTCTTATGATCAGTATATATGTGACATGTCTCTCCGTAGAGATAATGTCTCCAAATCTTCAGTGCAAACACTACTGCTCCCAGCTCCAGGTCGTGGGTAGGGTAATTTACCTCATGCTTCTTCAACTGTCGTGAAGCATAGGCAATTACTCTCCCCTCCTGCATCAACACACACCCAAACCCTTGGATGCTCGCATCGCTATAGACATCGTACCCCACACCCTGTTTGGGTAATGCAAGTACCGGTGCCTCGGTCAATCTCTTCTTTAGTTCCATGAACCCTTTCTCACATTTGTCATCCCATACAAACTTAGCTCCTTTACGAGTGAGCTTCGTCAATGGTGATGCCAAAACAGAGAACTTCTCCACGAACTTTCTGTAGTAGCCTGCCAATCCAAGGAAACTACGAATTTCTTTGACGTTCTTCGGCCTCTCCCATTCGGTAATGGCCTCTATCTTCTTGTTATCAACAGCAATTCCCGATCCTGAAACCACGTGCCCGAGAAAGCCAATCTCCTTTAGCCAAAATTCACACTTAGAAAATTTGGCATAGAGTTGCTTCTCCCGTAGTGTCTCAAGAACGAGTATCAAGTGCTCTTCATGCTCTTCCTCACTCTTTGAGTAAATCAAGATGTCATCTATGAACACAATCACGAATCGATCCAAGTATTTATGGAATACTCGGTTCATCAAGTCCATGAATGCCGCTGGGGCGTTTGTTAACCCAAACGACATAACAAGGAACTCAAAATGCTCATACCTTGTGCGGAAAGCACTCTTTGGTATGTCGTCTTCCTTAATCTTCAATTGATGGTACCCCGACCTCAAGTCAATCTTCGAAAACACGGTTGCCCCTCGTAGTTGATCAAACAAGTCATCAATCCTAGGCAAAGGATACCTATTCTTGATTGTGACCTTGTTCAGTTGACGATAGTCAATGCACATTCGAAGTGTCCCATCTTTCTTTTTCACAAAAAGAACCGGTGCTCCCCACGGGGAGTGGCTTGGTCTAATGAAACCGTTATCCAAAAGCTCTTGCAATTGGGTTTTCAACTCGTTAAGTTCAGCGGGTGCCATACGGTATGGCGGTATGGAGATTGGTTTGGTGCCGGGCTCGACCTCGATCACAAATTCAATCTCTCTATCGGGTGGAAGTCCCGGTAAATCTTTTGGGAAGACATCCGGATACTTACAAACCACCCTCACATCGTTGATGTTCGTTTCTTCTTTGGTTTTGTCAACCACGTATGCTAGATATGCGTGGCATCCCTTTCTCATCATACTTCTCGCTCTCACGGCGGATATGATACAGCTATTTGATCTCCCTCGATCGCCCTCGAAGCGTAGGGTCTCCCCATCATTGCCTTCGAGTTCAAGAACCTTCGTGTAGCAATCTACACTAGCATGGTTCCTTTCTAGCCAATCCATCCCTAGGATTGCATCGAATTCAATCATGCTCAGCGGTACGAAGTCACACGTTAAGGTCTGACCATTAACCTCCACCCCACAAGATGGATAGTAACAAGTTCTTTCCACGTCGTCCCCTAGTGGTGTTGATACCACTAAGGTTTGCATCAATGGTGCGGATTGCACTCCCAATCTCTTGGCGAACGCTTCATTCACAAATGAACGTTGCGCCCCCGGTATCGATAAGGATTCGCGCATCATTCCCATTAATCTTTAGTGTCCCTACATTCATGAACCATGTAAGACATTTTTTCCTACCCTCCCTACTCATCTATAGGAGGTTACAATGTTCACACGCATGTTAGGGATCAAGAAAAGGTCTTAACGTCGCAAAACGGTGCGAAAAAATCACATTTCGGCAATCTGGGTGCCAGGCACGGCGTGCCTGGAGTAGGCACGATCGTGCCTGGCTCAGGAAAAAGCCCTGGGGGCTACTGCCTTGGAGGCACGATCGTGTCTGCCTTAGGCACGATCGTGCCTGGTTTGGAGAAACACCTGGGGAGCTACTGCCTTGTAGGCACGATCGTGTCTGCCTTAGGCACGATCGTGCCTGGGCTGGAAAATTCCTGGGCAGCTACTGACTTGGAGGCACGATCGTGTCTGCCTTAGGCACGATCGTGCCTGGGTTCCAGCCGCCTGAAGTTGCCCGAAATCCCCCGGTTTGACCCCAAAACCTTGTGCAATGATCCAAGCGATTAGTAACCTCAATTTATGGACTAATTAAGGACAAAACACTAGCATACGAGAGGCAATACCTGCAACGGAATCCGGGTTAGCTTGAGCATCCGCCTCCGTCATCACGTAGACCCTAGCTTGAGTCCTTCCTTGATTCACGGACGGCGCATTGCTTGTGCTTGCTCCCCCTTGCCCCCTGGACGCTTGTGAAGTCCCGGCTTGATTCCGTGTCCCGGCATTACCACTACTTGGTCCCGATGACCTTGCCCCACCCAATTGTGGGCAATTCATCTTCAAGTGCCCGGTGTTTCCGCATTGGTAGCATCTAGGAGGGTCACGACATTTCCCCAGGTGGTTTCTCTTGCAATTCTTGCAACGAGTCACCCCCGAGGCTTGTGATTGCCCGCCCGGGCCTTGACTTCCCCTAGATGGCAGTGGGGGTGTCCGAAAAGATCCCCCTCCCCCATGGTTCCCCTTTTTGCTAGGACCTTGAGGTCCATGGTTCTCCCACTTTCTCTTCTTCACCTCTTCGGCGTTTTTCAACTTTCTCTCTTCCCATTCTTTCTCTCCTTTCAACCCTTGCTCGACCACTTGGCTAAAAGTCATGTTAGGCAACTGTGTTGCCCTCTCACGCACCTCCAGGTCTAAGGCATCCCAGAAGTGATTTACCATCCGGTTCTCGTCACACACATACTCCGGTATGAACTCCGCGAGCTCCCTGAATTTGTGTTCAAGTTGCCTCACCGTCATTTTGCCACCTTGGGTTAGGAGGGTATACTCTCTCCTTTTAGCGTTCACTTCAAAATCAGAATAGTATTGGGCAAAGAACTCCTGTCGGAAATTCTCCCAAGTCACGGTATTGCCATACTTTCCCTTGGCTCCATCCCACCATGTGGATGCCATCCCTTCAAGCAATCTCACCGCCACCCTTAGTTTAAATTCGGGGGTGAGTTGCATATCAAGGGCTGCCTCGTTCAACCTCTTGATCCATTCCGCGGCGACCGAGATGTCGCCTGCTCCGTTGAAGGGTTTGCACCCCAAATCTCGTGCCTCTTTGATGTACTTGGAGATCCTTATGATTGGACCTCCATCACCCCGGCCCCCATGTGGTTCAATGTGGGCCCGAGAATCGCCATGGCTCCTTCCTCTTGAAGCCCCACCCGAAGTTCGCCCTCCCCGGCGCCTCCGGCGTTCCCTCCTTTCCTCGCGCTCCCGCTGATATTGTTGGAGCAGCGCCTCGATTCTTGCTAGGGAGTCATTCTCCCCCTCTTCATCACTTACATCATCGTCATCCCCTTCGTAAGGGGTCTCAACCGGCTCGGTCCCCGGTTGGTAAGTCGAGTCCTCATAGGACCAGTAGGTTTCACTTTCTGTGTCAACATGACCGTCACTCACGGTCTGTGATCGGCCTCCACGGCCAGCTCCTCTAGATGCCCTAGAGGTCCTTCGACTGCCCTGTCCAGTCTCCACTGGTACACGGCCCGTCGGGTTTCTCCTAGTAATCCTGCCACCACGGTCCATTTCTGAAAGAAATTTGGAAAGAGTCGTTAGACTCGTATCAAATGTCAATTGACGGATAGGTACTTAAGACACATTTTGGCTCGAGTCACCGCCATACCAATTGCTAAGGGTACCATCTTAACAATTAGAGACCTTGCAACCCAAGTACCAAAAGCTCTCCAAGTACAAAACTTCTATGCTCATGGTTTTCAAAATATCTTCAAAAAGAGAATTTTGAGACTTCATTATGAAGTTTATGGACTAAGGCTCTGATACCAACTTAATTGTCACGCCCCGGACCTCCCCGGACACGTCAACAACCCGCCGTACAATACGAATAGTCAACCGCAGTTCAACACATTCATATTATACAAAGCGTCTTGAATATCATTCACACATAAACCATCCATAAACAAACATAATAAGTAATTCATAACGCAGCGGAAAACATTGTTTAAAACAAAAGGGCCACACATGGCTATTCATGAGCACGCAGGCTCCATTGTAAAATATCCATGAGCATGTTTATTAATGTTTAAAAACCGAATGGAGGAAGCACGAACCAAGTCTTCCCTCCTAGATGATCACTCGAGCAACGAGCACAGGAAGCAAGCTCTAGCCTCAACCTGAAAAATGGTAGTGGGACGCCCCCGAAGGGGTCAGCACTCTATAGAGCTATAAAGTGCTGGTGTGGATGGCATCTAATAGATATACAACAAGTATTTCACCATGCACAACAATCACCTCATCATGTCTACCCAATGCAATTCTATGAGCACGGGCTCAAGTACATCTCCTTACATTGGCATAGACCCCAATTCCTAAGCACTCACTATGCCTAGAATTGTAATATCAATAATCTATTTTGGGACATCCCTACGGACTGCCCAACCATGGTCTTAGCATCACATTACATCAAATTTGTCACTTGCATCACAATCAAGTACATCAATTATAATCAAATCCTTAGATTCAATTCCCTTAACAATTACAACAATCATTAACTAGTATTTCAATACTATTAAGATTATTCTTATCCATCATATATTCCATTTGTAAAACCCTACATATTTAGAGATATGTAGCAGCAACTTAATCATTCAATGTAATACATAAATAACCATTTATGTATCTACACAATTCACATGTGAGTAAATGCCTATTTCACACAATAGTTCATTTAACTCCATTTTTATCAATACTTTACCAAATCACTTCCCATTTCATTCTTTGGAAAATAGATCAATATTTCATCAATAATTTATCATAATAATCCATGGAAAACATGATTTAGGCATTTAGGTAATCTCATGCTTAACCTACAAGTTGTAAGCAACTAGATGTCGATCCTCACCTCAAATGAGCTTTAAAACTTTCCTTCTCGATCCAATGACCAAAGCCTCGGCCAAGGAAGATTGAGAACTGGTTCCTTGCTTGAAAATGGGTGTTAAACAGCTTCCTCAAGTTGCTAATTCAACCCCTAACCGTTGATACGAAAACAGCCCCTAGAACGGGTGTTTTCCGGCTAACTCGATTCCTAGTTTTCCAATATTTGCTCTAGGTTAGTATCTAACCTTTACATCAATAAAAATAACTTTACAAGGACATATTATACACTTGGATTAGTGTACAATAGTCCCACCAATCGTTCATATCATTTGGAAAATGAATGGAAAGGATTTGGGATTAACAACTCACTTAGAAGAGTAAATCCGTTCCTGCGAGGTCGCGTTCTGCTCGGGCGATTTGGAAGCCTTCCTCTACTCCGATTGATGCAAACCAGACCTTCACGGATTCCTCGTCTTTAGAGCTTTCTTTTGGTATCTCACACGCTTTAATTGGACTGGTAAAACTCGAGATATCAACCAAACAGTCTCAGCACTCTCACAGCTCGAGTTCACAGACCACTGCTCGTTCCAGATCGATTTTTGGATGATTACTCTCTCCTCTCGAACTGAGACCACTCAATTATAAAAATAGACTTCAAAAGCTATCCAAGGACACCTCATACACGTTATTTGGTTGAGGATAGCTCCTATAATGAGAGGAGACAAACAGCACACCAATTTGTGCGAAAATAAGAGTGGTGGCCCCAAACTTTGATTCTTATCAAGTCATGTGCAGCTCTTCTCCATAATGGCCGGCCAAGGTAAGTCTCCTAACCCATTTTTATTTGTCTTGCAGGTACTAATATCATGTGGAGTGGTTCCCAATTGATCCCAATCATTTTGGGATCCAAATTATCTACCAATACTTCCAAAAATGGGGAAAATGGGTCCTATTGTTTTATCTTTGTCAAAAGATGTCTTTTTGTACTCATCCTAATTTATTTAGAACAAGTCAACTTCTCAAATCACATTATTGATCTCCAATATGTGTAGGCTCATCCCAATAATTTACTTGATAGATATTATAGAAGGAAAATCCTACTCCCATTATTTAGCTCAATAAGGCCAAAGGTGGGGTTATAGGCATTTGTATTCTTCTTTAATCATCCTATCACTTATTTGACATTTTTCATACATATTATTGGGCTACTAGCCGTGTGGGTCACTCCCGAGTGGGTCTAGAACGCCATTCTCGAATACTTGCTATTTTAGCAGGTTGGGCTCAAAATAACGTTTGGGCCGTCCGACCTTACTCGGATTGTCTTGCAAGATTATGTATCACTATTTGGAAAATGTTGGGCTCTTTTATTTATTAATAAGACCCAAGTGGTATTTGCATGCCCGACACTAATATACGAGTTCGAACAGTACACTCATCGATCATTAATTACGTAAAACATTAATCGTTTTACAAATGTTTGGGAACCAGAAATCCAATACATAAACTTTGAATTTTAAATTAAATTTTCAAGGACGCTCGGAAGCGGTGTCACATTTTCACCTCGTCTCCACTCGCCTCAAAGAGTGGGGATTGGGGGACTGAGGGGTCAGAGTTTCTTGATGAGCAGAAAATATCACGCAAAAGCAGGAACGAGAGCTGAGTCAGTTGGAAAGGAGCTGAGCTAGATTGATTATGCCGGAGGGGATTTACCTTCCTTGTTTCATGTTGGGGGCGCTAGGTGTACTCTTTTTCCCTTTATTAGGATTTTTTCCCACTGGGTTTTTCCTAGTAAAGGTTTTTAACGAGGCACCTCCCCATAATGGACAAGGGTGGTGGTCCCCCGGCCGAAGAGGAAGAACGTTGCAGATACAGTTTGGACTACTCCCTTTCGCCTCGAGTACTCTCGACTTAGGGAGTGGGGGACTCCTGATGGATTATATGGACTCCGACCCCCCGGCATGCCGACTACTAGGCCTGGACAGCGGCCCACACACGTTTAGCGGATATCATTAATATTATTGTACATTATTATTATTATTCAGATGTTCTAGATTAGCTTTTTATACTATCAGTCCATTTATGTAACCGGGTCTGTCAGGCCCATATTAGAGGCCCAGACCCGGATTTTCCCTATATATACTCCTTATAAGAGGCTTGTAACTCATATAACCAATACTCATTCTATACACATTTCCTTCTTCTCCATTACTCCTTTTGATTCTTGTTCAATTTCTCCTATTCATACAATATGAATATCAATTATCCAACAGAGTGCATGAGTAAGTTTTTGATTCCATTGGCGACTTGCCTGTTTGAGTCCATAAAGAGATTTCTGAAGCTTGCATACTAAGTCAGGCTTGGGTAAATGCAGACCTGGTGGTGGCCTCATATAAACTTCTTCACAAAGATTACCATGCAGAAAGGCATTGTCTATGTCCAATTGTTGTATATGCCAGTTGTTCATGCATGCTATGGATAACAATAATCTGAGAGTTGTGAGTTTTGCAACAGGAGAGAAGGTTTCAAAAAAATCAACTCCTTCAGTCTGAGTGAAACCTTTTGCCACTAAACGAGCTTTATGTCTATCAATGGAACCATCAGGTTTGAACTTGAGTTTATAGACCCATTTGCATCCTACAGTTGGTTTTCCTGGAGGTAGACTAACTAAAGACCAAGTGTTATTATCTTGCAGAGCTTTCAATTCATTGTTCATGGCAGTTTTCCAACACTCATGTTTGATGGCTTGGTTAAAGGTTTTTGGTTCAGTCTTAGTGGATATGTTATGACAGAAGGTGGTGTGGTTATTGGAACATTTAGAGAAGTCAAGATATGATTCCAGTTTATAAGGAGTAGTATTGGAGGACTTGGTGGAACCGCAATAGTATGAACTTAGGTAACCAGGAGGTTTTTTAGTTCTGGTGGTGGGCTGATTAGGAGAGTGATTTAGTGAGGGTGAGTTAAGATCATTGGAAGATTGATTTTGGGAAATAGAGGTGTGATCTTCAAAATTGTATGGATAGGGAGTGGTGATATTGAGATTGTGGAAAGGAAAATCATTCTCACAGAATATGACATTTCTAGAGATGATAATGTTGTAATGATGAAGGTCATATAAGATGTATCCTTTGGTTCCAGTTTTGAAACCAAGGAAGATGCATTTGTTGGCTCTGCTATCCAGTTTGGATCTTCCAGAAGTTAATGTGCTAGAATAGGTAAGACAACCAAAAGATTTTAAAGAATGAAGATCAGGTTTGGATTGATGAATAACCTCAAAGGGGGATTTTTTATGTAGAAGAGGTGTTGGTAATCTGTTAATGATGTGAGTTGCATATCTAACAGCATAAGACCATAAATGGTGGGGAAGCTGGGCTTGAAACAAAAGGGCTCTTGTAGTATTAAGAATGTGTTGGTGTTTTCGTTCAACTATGGAGTTCTGTTGCGGACATTCAACACAGGAAGTTTCATGCTGAATTCCATGGGTTTGATAGAATTCAGAAAGAAGAAATTCTTTTCCATTGTCTGATCTAAGCTATTTCAGATGACAATTGAACTGATTTTGAATAAGAAGAATGAAAGGTATGAGTAAAGATTTGACATCTGATTTTAGTTTGAGAGTGTGAATCCAAGTGAACCTACTAAAATCATCTACTATGGTTAAAAAATATCTATAACCATCGATAGATGTGGTTGTTAATGGACCCCAGATATCCACATGGATTCTTTGAAAAAAATGTGTAGAAGTGGTACGACTAACAGGATATGGAATTCTCTTTTGACGTGAGAAATGACAAATATCACAATTATGAAAAGAAGAGAAAGGAATGTCATTGTATTCATGTGATAATTCTTTGAGAACAGTATTTGATACATGTCCAAGTCTCAAATGCCAAGCTAGAGATGAACAATCAGGAACTGTGTGTCCTGTTGTAGTTTTATTGATTACATTGGGAATAACATCAGAAACATTACAAGAAGAAAAAGCTACATTATTTTTGGAATGCAAACAGTATAGTCCTTGAAACTTGTTAGCTAGTCCAATCATCTTCAAAGATGTTTTCTGCAAAATGAAACAATGAAGTTCTGAGAAAAGAACAACATATGAACCAGAAGAAACTAGTTTTGGAATAGAAACAAGATGAGACTCAAATTGAGGAACATATAGGACATGTTGAAGGGTTAATTGTCCTATAATAACGGTGCCTGAGTGTTGAGCTGTGACAGATGAACCATTAGGCAGTTTTATATGAATAGAGGGAATAGGGTTCAAAAAAGAGAAGAGAGTTTTGGATGGACATATGTGGTCAGTAGCACCACTATCCATGATCCAAGAGTAAAGGTGAGATGGTTTACCAGGAAGTACCAGAGAATTGGTATGGTTTTGGTTGACAGAATGTGAAACAGGTTGAGAATTTATTTGAGAGTGTTGAAAGAGTGCCATAAGTCCTTGAATTTGCTCCTCAGATAAAGTAAACTGATCTGAAGCTAGTGTACCTGCAGAATTTGTCAACTGAGAGTTTGCATTAGGATCAAGGGTAGCCATATTTGCAGATGAAGAAGCAGAAGTGTTGTTGTTTTTAGATTTATAGCCTGGAGGATAGCCATATATCTGAAAGCATGTATCCTTTGTGTGATTTGTTCTTCCACATTGTTCACAATAACGGTTCCCTCTGCCTCTTCCACCGGAAGGAGTCCTACCACCACCACGGTTATTCTGAAAATTGCCTCTTATATTAGAGGAACCTCTAGCATATTGAGTATTTTGGGATGGAATTTGAGTTACAGCATTGCATGAAGGTGTGTTGAAAATATTCTGAGAAGTAATGGATCCAAATTCCCTTTCATGTTGCAGAATTAGAGAAAAAACTCTGCTTAAAGGAGGCATAGGAGCAATTATCATGATCTGTGATCTGGTGTGAGCAAAATCTTCATTCAAGCCTCTAAGAAATTTGATTGTACATTCATCTTCTCGTTCTTTAATGATTTTCTCCAAAATTCCGCAAGAGCAAGTGGGAGAACATTTACAGATTAAAACAGTGCGGTATTGTTCTAATTCTTTCCATAAAGTCTGAAGTTTAGTGAAATATTGAGTTACCGAAAGAGATCCTTGACGCACTTGTTGAATCTCCTCAGTTAGGTCAGCAATACGAAACATGTTGCCATGTGAAAATCGAGCAGAAAGATCCTTCCAAATTGCAGTTGCTGTGTCAAAGTATACAACTGATTCTGCAATCTGAGAAGTCATAGATCTCATGAGCCATGCCATAACCATTCGGTTGCACCTTCGCCATGACTCGTAGAGAGGATCGCTGATGGATGGTGAAGGAAATGAGCCATCAACAAATTTGTGTTTGTTTTTGGATTCCAGCATTGCGAGCATTTGATGTTTCCATGAATGATAGTTCTTCTCGGTAAGAAGAGTTGAAACAAGAACTAGAGTTGGATTCTCATTTGGATGTAGATACAGCGGATTCGATGGATTTACAAGATGATCCGGAGTGGATTCGAGACCATCAGAGGAAGATCGAGTAGTAACCATGGTGAAATGAGATCAGGAAACTTCAGAAAGGATGATGAACATCTGATACCATATTAGCAGAGATAAGCGGAAGAAGATGAAAAAGAAGAAAATGATCTCATTATCATATAAAGCTTGAACAACCTGTATTTATAGTACAGGGATAGTACGCTATCTATCTAACTGTTCTAACAATATCTGAACAAACTAATAGAAAGGCTGTGCTATTGTATATGCATCTTCACATAAGCTACTCCTGTGACTGCACAAATTGCTGCTTTATATGGGCTGATGGGACCATATCTTTATCTCAAAAACGAACTCTTGGGAACCACCTACCGGCTACCACCTAGAGAAGATGCTGAATTCTGTACAGCCCCAACATTTATGTGCCATTAGAATCATACTGATTCTTCAATTATTTCCCCACAACTCCTCCAATTACTCTAGTTCGTATTCCAGTTCCACGGTTGTTGTTATATCATGACCAACCACTAAACTAATTCATATTTCAAGGAATTGAGGAAAAGTTGAACAGTAAAAGGTGAAGTAATATGCGAATCGAATATGGATTGTACATTTCTATGGTTTATATATCTTGACAGTTATCACTTATCAAATATTTAGCTTCATATAAGATGAACTTTGAGTGACAATGTCAACAATAGTTTCGCTAGTCGCTACTATTGTCATCTTCAAAAAAAGCACTTCAACAATTATTGTGGAGTCATGATGTCCTAAAAATAAAGAAATTGTTTTGGTCGCATTAAAAATCAAGCGTGAAAAAGTAGATCATCGTGAAAAAGTAGATCATGTACATATATTATACTCCCTCCGTCCCTTAAAACTTTGTCAACTTTCCTTTTTTGGTTGTCCCAATAACTTTGCCACTTTCTATTTTAAGTAAAGAATTTGTGGTTCCAGTTAATTCTCTCTCTTCTGCACAAACCTCAACCACACAGTTTTTACTTTATTAATCTCCGTGCCGGTCAAACTTGGCAAAGTTTCAAGCGAAATAATTATCAGTAATTGAACTTACTGATAATTTTTAGTCATCAAGTATGGTCATCAAAGTGGAAATGACTAAGTCAAATAATTGAACTGATAATGATATGGTCCCATCAGCCCATGTTCAAGTAAAAGATTGATAATTAACAGCTCTTGGACAAATGTTGAATGTTCAAGTTGTACCCAGTCCACAATTGTTTCCCATGCTTCATTCTCATACACCGTAAAAATATTAAATTGAATTTTTGTTTTTTTGGATGAAATGGAAGTATATATTAAAATGGGAAAATAACTTTAAATAATACCAACTATCATTAATAAATCAATAATAATACAAACTTCGAAAATTATTTTTAATAATACCAACTATTTGAATGTAAAACAAAAATAATACGGAGTTATTTTTTGACAAAAAAATCGATCATTTAAGAAATCAAAAGCTAATGACAACCCATCAAATAAATGATATTTGGAAATATATTCACTAATTGGATATTTTGATACAAGTTTTTGATGATTTAAATGGTTGAATTTTTAGTAAAACAAATGCTCTATATTACTTTTGGTCTATATTTAACTAGTTGGTATTATACCAACATTTGTCCAATCTTTTACTTGAACATGGTTAGATTGAAAAAGCAGTGAAGAATGGATATTGTAGAAGGGTATATTGGAACTAATATGGATGAAATCAATGTGGATGAAAAATATATGTAAACTAGTATTACACCCGTGCGTTGCACGGGACGTAAAATGCAGACATTTTAAACGTAATTAGTGGTCATATTTTCTTTTATCACGCAAATAAAAATAACCCTTAATAAATAAATGATGACAAATATAAGAAGTTTAATGAGCAAACCCTTAACAAATCATTGGAGATTTCCTCATAAACTACTTCTTTTTATAGTTTTTTCTGATTTCCCTCATTGTTTCATATTACAACTTCATGTCAGACAGACTTGCTACCCTTGAAACCGTAACATACAATATCTATCCGTAAAACCAGGACATCGCAGGAAAACATCCATAGTCTTTGATGATTTTCCATGACTCTTATTTATCATAATTTAATCACATAGTTTGGTCAGTGTTATTTACAATGTTGTGATTTATTGCTAAAAAATAAATAATTGTGTGGTCTACGACAAACCAAGCCATTGTTGACATTTAATGAGTTTAACTACTCATTCAAATTCATAGACGACCTTTTAGACAACTATTAGTTATGTTACTAATTAATATCTCACATTCTCACTCGTGCGTTGAACGAAAGATTATTTATAATTATAAAATTATTTTAATTAATCTATAACTATCACGATATAAGCACTTAGATGAAGTACATATTTTTATAAACAATTTCCAAAGCGTATTGAATTATTATCGTGTCATTACATTAGAAAAGTTAACCTAAATGAATTTGGTACTTTTAAGATCGTGAGTCACCACGTAAAAATCATACCCATATTGTACAATTTACAAAACATCAAACCTTTCAATAATTTATCTTGACCGTCATCGGACATTGGTAATCACAGTACATCCCTCAAGAACATGTTTCTAAAATGCAAAAAGGAGCTCATATTATACAAAAACACGTTTAATAAACAGATTTGTTATTTTTTTCAAGTCTTCAAAAGGAAGATACTAATGACTATTTCTTTTCCCCTTTTGGTACACCGGAAAATATACTAAAGGATAAAATATTACTTCTGTTACTACACTGCCTATGCTACTTCTCAAACGTGAGAGAGATTGAATCAACTGCTCCTAATATTGTGACGAACTCCTAAGCTTCAAAAGTATCTCGCTTCAGTTGGAAGATTAAAGCTACAAATGTCACCCGGAGTCACTATCCAACCACACATCTATCCCATCTCCTGTTTTTAAAACCTGCATTTGACACATGCATGTTGCCGCTGAACTTTTTGTGAACTGTGATCACTGGTTAGATATACCTGAAAGGCTAAAAACAACATGAAGAGCTATTTGTTATCCATTCGCAGAAGAAATCTGTCATTGACAGGCATGGCAAGGTGTAATAAACAAACAAATACGGAGTATAAATAAAAGGACCAAACTAACATACCAGGATCTCAAAGAACACTTTTGCACTTGCTGTCATTGCTCAGATGGGCGCCTCCAAACTCGTTTATAGTAAAATGGAATAGCATGCGAAATGTTTAATGATGAACTCGTGTGAATGCTTCAAATAACATATTTGCCGCTTACTTGTCGCATCAATAGTAGCATCCACATTGATTTTCACACATCCGATGTCGGGTTTCAACTATCTCCTCCATTACTGCTAATGAACTTCTCCCCAGCTGCACATTCAATCTCTGAGGAGCGTGCCAGCTCTCCAAGGTTTCTTTTGCAGCTCTCCAGATACCCTCAGTCAAGAACCCAGCTCCCTCTCAGACCACCTTCCATACACTCCAAAGAAGCATGACAAATCTGCAGCGTAACTTTTGGTGTTGTTAGGTGATAACTTGTTACCTTATTTCCTGAAGTGTTTTCTCCCTAAATATGATTATGGACTTGCAATGAATGCTATTACTCTTGGAGAGTTCAGCCCTTCCTCTCCAAAAGTCTGATTCTTGTTAATATGAAATAGGCCACATTCTAGGAATCTGTATAAGCCTTGCACACACATACATATCACTTTTCAAACATGTACATGTTTAAAGAAAACAATTGTTTTCAAATCAAAAGAAAGATTAGGAACAATTAAAAAATGTTTAATAACAAAGAAACATGCTAAAACTCAATTCAAATACATTGAATTTCAGAAATGAAGAAATCTTTAAAAATCTAATAGCTCGAAGTAACCAGAATCCACGGTAAATGAAATTATTCCAATGACTAAAATTTGCAATTCTATTACAAAAGTTGAACCTGTTGATGCAAACAATGTTGATGAATTTAGAGTGTGTGTCTAAATATACAAAATGAAAGCTAGATAAAATATCTACCAATGTTTAAGATGTACAAAACAAAGTAGTCTCTTTATGTATTTCAATCATTAAACTGAATCCATATATAGAAAATATCATATAACCACGAATAATTTGATGTAGCCATCTCCTTTTTTGCTTGCTGCCTTTGATTTTTTTCACAAAATGTTATATAATGCCCTAAATTTTTTAACATATAAAAAAGTTATAAAAAAGCATTGTACGTAAACATAATAAACAGTCTTAAGAAGCAGTTTAGTAAATAAGATTTTACTGTTAAATATGCAATTAATAAAATACCCAGTTTAGTTTATTTACCTCCTAGTCCAGCAATACTAATTCACAAATTCGTAAATCCAAGTTGTTGTTTCTGAGAGGGACAATCCATCGTCTTGTCCGACACAACAGAAATGCAGGTTCCTTTGCAATCCAAGTTAGTTTTTGCTTGTTTGGTATAAATAAGGATGGTAAGGTTGATATGATACATAAAATTAGTACCAGAAGGGTATTAATTTTATATATTTTTTCTTTTTTAGATTGTGTTAATGAGACACTTGTTCTTCAAAAGTGACCGAAATGTAATACCAAAACAATGATTGTATATGATAGAGTATATGATAAAGTTTGTGTCATTTGATAAACCTGAAGGACTGCCATGCTGGTGACTAAATCGAAACTATCACTGCCTCAACAATTGGAAAATGAGAAGCAACCGCAGCTAATTCCTTGTCAAGTTGCCAAGTTACCAGAATATATTCAGCTATATAGTTTGAAATATGTGTCACTATTGTTAATTACTTTTAATCTCATTCGAAATATTAAAAGTAAGCTCATAAAGAACCCCCTGATCTTAGGAAGACAACCCCAATAAAACCACAACATGTAAGAAAATGGCTCATATGCCAATTCAAATGGCTTAATTGTTGCGATGCACCATGACTTAGACATTGCACCTTTAGATCTAATGGCTGAGAAAACAGTATGGAAAATTTAAAAGAGAACAAACCACATGTCATAAATCATCTTGGAGAAGAAAGAAAAGATTGCGCACAAAGAACTCCCTTATTTGGTATGAACTTATTTTTTATTAGTGATGTATTGATGGTCTTCTTCTTTAATCTTGGCTAAGTTAATTCAAATGGCTTAATAGTTTTCATTCCCCATGACTTAGACATTACACCTTTAGATATATTGGCTAAGAAAACAGTAATGGAAAATTTGGGTATCTGCCAAAAAATGGTTTTTTTGTCCAAGTACATTATTTACCTTTATTAGGATATATGTAAACCATAGTTTTAAGCTCTTAAAAAGCATCTTAAATACTTATGAAATCCCTAGATGTATAATTGAAATCCCTAGAAGTATAATTAACGGTTTAACTTAATGAAGTGTGCTTGAAAACTCAAAAAGGTACTTTCGTTTTGGAGAGGTAGTACCATAGTAGTAATAAAAATTAGTAGAAGTTATTAATATGAAATGCAGTTGCAAAACTATTGTTTGTTCTATAATTTGTTTGACTCATTCATGTGTAGGTGCTTCTTGATCAATTTGTGTATGCCACGGAATTCAAACACCACATCACAACTTCCAAACACACCCCAACTCGATGTAAACATCACAATCAGCCTCAATGTCAATTTTAGCTCGTGGCTTACAAATCGAACATTTAATACTTTTAAGGAATATAAGATTACGTGTCTCATGTAAGAGGTCATTATATCAGGCAGATGATATTTTTTTATTTCCTAAACAGGAGTAGTTACTATCAATCTTGAAAAATGCTGCAAATTATGGCAATATACTGTCATGTTTAAATCCTGATAATGTCATAGTATGACAGTAAATTTTAAGACTAACAGTAACACACTCCTATTTGATAAAAAACAAACATAGTGATCATTTTATAAAACTTTACATTGCTTTGACTCATATTTCAGGTATTTTCTCATATCATTTTAGTTCTTCTTAGTCTAGTGATACTAAAAATAGAAATATTCATTTAAACAACATTCAAGGCAAACACAAGTGGTCATCAAGCCCCCTACTAAAAAACAAAAAAAAAATACTTCATAAAATTATATCAACGAACACTTACACCTACATTATTTTATAACAAATAATCACAAAATCGATGTAAGTTTAGAGAAAGTGAGAAACTTGAAACAAATTCATTCTTTAAGAACGGCACTGATCGATCATTTTAGGTCTTCTTTATTAGGATTTATTGAGATCATTCATCATCATCATCATCATCATCATCATTATCATTACCCCAGTGCCGCAAAGGCTTCCACCTATGGTAGGGTAAGGGGGGTCGGATGTACGCAGTCTTACCCCTGTACTAAAGCATAGAGAGACTGTTTCCGGATGAGCCATAGTGAAAATCGCGTCCAAAATTGCATAGAGTGACTGCTGCTTTATAACAAAGAAGTGCAGACAGTTAAGTGAGCCATTTTTCTTTATTCCATCATATTCTCAAGCCAAAAAATAGTGAATCTTAGGCTCCATTGCAAATGATGGAAATATTAGGATTTATTGAGATGCATGGTCTTTTTTAATTCTCAATTTTACTGAGCAGTTTAAGTTCCATTTTAATAAGTAAGCAATTTTACTGGTTTTTTTTGTGGGGGGGGGGTGTAATCAACAAACCTAACAAAAAAATATATATTTTTCATTTATGTGAATTATTATAATACATTCACCATGATGACATTTGAAAGGACCAAGTTGTTATAGTATTTACAAACACTTGATTCAAATGTCAAATTAAACACAAAAAATGCTTAAAATAAAACCACTTTTTTCTATTAAACTGAACAGTTTTGTAAAAAAAATGTCTTAAACCACATCTTAAAATAAGCCCTTAAAAATTCATAAAGGGAACTTAAATTGAACAGTTTTGTAATAAAAGAACAATTTATTAACACGTTAGAAAAAATAATACACACTTCAAGAGAACGTCTTAAAACATGTCTTAAAATATATATATTATTGATGGACTATAAATAAAATACAGACTTACACTGGATGAATTTGAACATCAAAGTAGTTTATAAAGACACATGGTAATAAATATAAAGAGTTTTGATAAATGTAAAGACAATCTGCCGAGTAAATCAGAAAATACTTTTATCACCGTGGTATCTTTGTCCCTATTTAAAGCTTCTATCATTATTAGTCTCTAATTTCATTTTATCAATTTCAAATTCCTGTTTTGCAATTGAATAAAACTCCTAATGTAGTTTCTAAAAATATGAATTTTAACATGTTAATAAAAATTACATATTTTTAGGAGTCATGACGATTTAATTTTATCATCTATCAACTGTCATTAATCGCAACATGATCTTCGGGGGTATTTCGTAACCAATTTTATTTCTACTTAAATATGACTAATCATAAGCTTATAATATATATGAGACACAAGAAAAAGAAAATATGCAGTTGATAGTAATTCAGCTTTCAGCCTTCTGAAAATAACCATTAATTCTATAGTTATTAGTTAAAAGCAACTAAATAGGGTGTTAGACAAAATGGTCAATTTAAAATGGAATGAAAGAATTTGCACAAAGCTAGGAACTGCCATTTAAAAATTAAAAGTACACAAAAATATGAAAGAAGTAGTATGATCAGTTCTTAGAAAGCCAGATTAATAATGCCAATTTAGTAAATGTCATAATAGATAATTTAGATAAGCCCCTAACTATAGAGCTGAAAAATCCTAATATATAAGAATACCAATTCTAAGGAAATTAACTCGATGAATAAGTTAAATTATTTTCAAGGATAACTGTTTTATTGGAAATGCAATAGCTTGAAAAGAAAAGAAAAGTAAAAATCAGTCGGGACTTCAGTCATTATTATAAACATCACCTGCAATAACATCCAAGTAAAGATAAAATGGATAAACTGAAATTCGAATGCTCGTTCATAAGTATAAAAATCCAAATTAAAAACATAAGAATTTAATTTGTAGGAACTGAAGATAGATTAGAAGAACTTTTCACACTGTCATGATATTTAAATGAATTAAAATCCAGTTTTATATGAACTTATTCCAACAAAATATTCTAATAGACCAATTGATTGAATTTAAGACTTAAGACTTGTTAAGAGAAAACTGTATGGATTATACAACTTATATGAAGCATAAATTGTATGGATATCTGTTATAGTGGAAAAAATTGTGTGAAAAGAAAACAAAACATAAAATTAATGTTGTAGGCAATGTCAACTTAACCTGCCCGATGGAGTCCGAAACAGCCTCCTCTGCTCTACATCACCCGGGACTTTAGTCACTATTATCAACTTGACCTGCAGCAACATCCAAGTAAAGATAAACTGGATCAAGTAGGTTGAATCTATGTAAAGACTGAAACTTTAAAGAATAATCAAAATATTTTAGCAATATGGTAAAATGGCAGAGACATTCAAGTGATTCACTATAGTTCACAGATAAAGTAGCTGAGTCACGAAGTAATGTCAGAGAACCTTAAGAGACACATTTGAAGTAAAAAAAATTGGAGCATAAATATAACATTATACCTCTGGCTTCAAGATTCATAAGTAAAAGAATTTCAAATGTTTATTGTAGTATAACAAAATATATGAGTTCCATTGATGTTGAGATGTATTTTATTCAACCTGACTGAATCGGATATCGAATTAAACAAAACAATTTGATCTATAAGAAATACCTAATACTATGTATATAAAGGGTTGAGATTATATTACCAATTCGAATGGAAAGCTTAGATCAAAGAAAAGATCAAGTGCTTTTTGTGGGAGCTACTGACGCCTGAGGTGCGGGGCCTTGATAGCTTTGAACGGCGAGGGTGATTTCGGCATAGAGGGGTAGCACCGTAGCAGTTTCTTGTGGGAGCTACTGAGGCATGTGGTGCGGAACTTAACGGCATCGAAAGGCAATGGTGATTTCGGCTCAGAGAGGCCTTGATTTCTTAGTTCCAGCAACAATTACCGAAGGGTACGATGGCAGAGAAAGCAAGAAATTCTCAGTGCACTGGAATTGGAGTGGGCGTCGAGAAGAGATGGCAGAGAAAGCCTGGCTATAGCTGAGCGAATAGAAGAGAAGATAATGCGCGATTAGTTTGCGAGTGAAATTAAGTTTTAGCCCATAGCACTAGGCGGGAGAAATTTCTCTCTCCTGTGTAGTGCTTTTAGGTATAGGATATCCTACAAGATATAAAAAAGTTCATAAATTCTTGATACAATTTATTACGTAGTAGTTAATTGCACATCCATCATCTCTCTACCCTTTGCTCGTTTGTACTTCTTGACAAAACAACATATAGTTGAGTACAATAGAAAGAACAAACTTTTGCTAAGACTTAAGAATTTGACATGATAGAGATATGGGAGTCTGGATTGTGTTAAGGGTAATTGCATATGAAACCATGATAAAAAGATAAGGACTCTTCTTGATTGTGTTAAGAGTATTGCATATAAAATGATGACTAAATCTTGTCTTTGTTGGCAACTACAAAGCATTCTCACATTTGGTCGAGTCATTTAATATCTACATTAGAGGTTTAGTATTGATTGAAAACTTGAAGTTGGTAAATGACATCAAAGCACTCGTCACATTTATACACATTTCAAAGTAGTGTCCTATGTATAAGAGTGGACGGCGGACTGGTTTGATTATGTCATAGAACAGGTCGGTCCACAACTCTGAAATGAGCACACTGGTACCATTTTTGGTGCAATGGATTGCATTACATGTCTTTATATTTCTTGAATGAAAAACAAAGCTATGTTAGTACTCCCTCTGTCCCGCAATAAACTTTACACTTTCTTTTTTTGAGTAGTCCCAAAATTAAATTCACACTTCAAAACTTTTCATATTTGGCAAATTATCTACATCAAAACAGTGTCAAACAGTGTCAAACAATATCCAAACAGTGTCAAACCGTGTTTGAACAGTGCAAAATAATGACTCCACAATAAAGTCAATTTTATTTTCTTAATCTGTGTGAAGTCAAAGTGTGAAGTTTATTGCGAGACGGAGGGAGTATGTTTTAAGTGTCACATTTTCATCAAACCAATGATATGTTGTTACATGTTTCTCTTATAAAATTATTCATTTTGAATATGATTTGGAAAAAAGCAACAAAGTGTTTACAGTAATATGCGTTGTTCAAGCAATTAGGTGAGAGTCAAGATGATTTTTGCAGGATCGACCTGTTTGCATATTTGATATTTCACTCTTGAGTTGTAGAATTCGAAACAAATTAGAGCAAACCGGCACTTGAATTACATTTTTTAGACAATGGAAATGCGGATTGAAAAGTACCCAACTTCTAGGGCTTTTGCTTCTACAAGTAGGGGCCTAAGCCATTTGAAAGAGCTGAGGATGGTGATGTTAGAGCAGCCTTCAGTAAGCTCAAAGCCTGATTAAAAAAATCAAACTTAGAAGTATGGATAGCATTTGAATTAAAGATTTGAAACATATGAGGGATTGAGCAGTGGTTAATTTAACAATCACCTCTTTAGTACCCAAAGTGACCCATTGCACCTCTGTCTGGCTGAACGGAATACCCATATCCTTGAGTAAGAGGAAGCTGGAAGCACCAGAAAGAGACTTCACACCAAGATCATCCGGGACCAAGAACATTGATGGTTCCACTGCAAAGTTATCGCTCTCCCTCGGATTGATCAGATAATAACTATCCGCATATGATTCGGTACCGATAGATTTGAGAGGCTGCTTCTTGCAGTTATGATATTTGGCAATACATGGATTAAGTAAGTTATTCTTAGCCGACTCTTGAAACCATTTGTGATCCAAATCCAGCACACTCCTGTACAAGTTGTCCATGCATGTTAACCCGGATTTGCCTTCCAAAACCCTCATCATTGATCCTATAGGAATGGTTAGAAAGGTGCATAGGAAATCAAAGAACTCGTTTGTCGCTTCACCAAACAATATCTCCTTTGTAGACTTGGCGTAAGTTACTTTAAGCTTTAGAGTATGACCATTCTGCTCAACAGTAGACTTAACCGGTAGCGCAGCTTGTGATGAAGAAAAATTATTTTCAAGTCTCGGCCGCTTCCCTTGGGTTCCCACTATTCCATATCCAGGACGTTTACCCAGGAATACATCACTTAAGGGAGTCTCTGAAACCAATGCACATGCGAGCAGATAGATTACCTGCAAACAACCAATTAGTATGTAGCATCTAACTAATTACTAGTAGGAGACAGTATTCATCACATCTACAAAAATTAAATACCAAGGCATGGTTTTAAATTGTGGTCCCATTGCAAACAGGTGGAATCACTCCACTCAGACACCCACACCCCGATCCAACAAAATGGTGAATGAGTAAAACACAATATGATCTTGAACACTTTATGAGTGAAGTGGCAAAGGATCTGGTGTGCATAAGGAACCACCATGACTCCTACACTATCGTTGCAAAAAATTAAATCTGAATTCTGAAACTTTAATCCAACAGCCACGCTCAACAATCGTTACAATTATGACAGTGGATAATATTAGGACGCAGAGAGTACGGCGTAATTGAGAAATTAATAGTGTATTACCTCAACCTTGGAAGCTTCCACACGCATCTCCCTTATTCTAGTGCCATCTGCTGAACCAATGTCGGGTATCAGTTGAGCAAGAACTGCAGGAGAGGCAGGCCTGACCTGTAAATTATCACTGATTAGGAACTCTATTCCTCTCTTCAAAAAGGACACACCCTCTGAACTTGAATCGCCGGCCTTCGCCTTCGCCGTCATCTCTTTGGTGGTGATCCCCTTTCCACAGACGCACTTAACATTTCTGTATATGCTGTAATACTTACAGCGGCCTCTCTCCATAGCAGCCAAGCGTTCTCTATAAAACATTATGCTTCCTGTGTTGTTAACAAATTGGTACACGCTATTACAGCCATAAGTAAGTTCGGGCCCAGAATCATCAATGTTAACCTTCAAATTCTTGCAGTATTTGGCAAGGGGATTTCTAGGATTGAGAACCATGTTTTTGCAGTGTTCTGTCTGCCAGTACTCACTGCTTAAGTTTTGAACGCCTTCATATAACTTGTTCATACAACCTACTGGTACAGAAGCTGTAGTTTTCTCATTTGCAGAGGTGATGAGTCTCATAATGGTTCCCATTGGGAGGGTGAGAAAGCTGAAGAGTATGTCCACGAAGTCCTTGTTTGCTTCTGCAGCCACTACTCGGTGGTTCTTCTCATCTATTAACAGCTTCAGGGGTACTAGTTCCGGCTCTTTCTTTACTGCCGCCATGAACACTCCGCGGTTCTGCTTAAAAGACATTCTGCAAACGAAAATGGTGTTGATCGGTTGATTCACTTCCCTATGTATTTAAAGCGCAGAGGGGAGAAACTGTAAGGACCTTTTGTTTACTTCTAAGTTTTAAATACTCTGTATAGGGTGGGTGTTTGAAATTCATTTATGTACCGATATGGGTACGCGGAAACGCGGAAACGCGTACGAAGATACGACAAAACCAAAAAAAGTAAGATACGGATATGGGGCCATATGTATAAATATTAAAAGTTATAGGGGTGTATTTATAAATAATAAAAGTTATAGGGGCGTATTTATAAATATTATTTTTTTTTTGAAAATATACACACATATATATATTCTTCTCTGTCGTCTACTCATTCATGGTGTTGAAGCATTTACATTATCGAGATATTTGGAAACAAATTCATATTTTATCTGATATACACTGGTGCATCTCGAAATATAGATATAGTCAATAAATCATTTATTTAAAATGAGAAATAAGTCAAACAACTACAATTTTAAAATTAAAAGTGCAAGTACTCAAAGTTCTAGGATGATAAAGATAGAAAACAATATTTTTAAAGTTCTAATACATATTTTCGTTGGAGCTATTAATTTCCAGGTAAAAACTATTTTTTATGGTTCATTTTAAAGAATTTTATTATGTAAATTTTGAGTGTTTTTTTATTAAAGTTTTTTGGGGAAGATTTTTTTAAAAAAAAAGTTGATACGTGTGTTGAGGTTTATTCCTGAAGATCCGAAAGACCAACACAAGCCTTGGATATTGTGGGGATCTGGTCAATCACCACCTGTTCGAACCTGCCGATTTCTTCCTCAACCAGTTCCTTGTAGGCTTTTAGCCGTTCTTCCCTAACCTCAGCAGATCCATTAATCTGGCTTACCACCAGCTGACTATCCGAACGGACCTTCAATCTGCTGGCCCCCAGGGCCTTGGCATATTTTAAACCAGCAATAAGGGCCTCATATTCGGCCTCATTATTGGTTACCTTGAAGTCAAACTGTACGGAGTAGTATGCCTTGAACCCCTCGGGGCATGTGATCACAGCACCCCCACCACAGCCTTTGTTACTGGATGCTCCATCCACATACATTTCCCACCAATGGTCATGTACTCCTCCGTCCGCTCCCTCTTCAGTTGATCTGGCAGTGCATTCGGCAATGAAGTCAGCCAAAGCCTGTCCCTTGATCGTGGGGCGAGGCTTGAAGTCTATTTCATACTGCCCGATCAGGAGGGACCACTTGGTGATACGCCCACTTGCCATAGGATTTCTCAGAATGGTGGCCAGGGGCTGGGTGGTGTAGATGGTGACTGGGTGTGCTTGGAAATAGGGTGCCAGTCGCTTGATGGTAGCAATCAATGCTAAAATGGTTTTTTCCATTAGGGTGTACCTGGTTTCTGGCCCGTTCAGGGCTTTGCTCACAAAGTAAATAGGGCGCTGGACACCCTCATCCTCCTTTAATAAAACAGAGCTGACCGCCAGATCAGCCACAGCCAGATACATGTAGAGATGTTCCCCTGGGTCTGCTTTAGTTAAGACCAGGGGGGAAGACAGGTACAATTTGAACTCTTCAAAAGCTGCCTGACATTCTGCTGTCCATTCGAACGGGTTGGCCTTTTTCATTATTTGGAAAAATGGGATGGCACGATCGGCCAGCTTAGCCATGAATCGGCTCAAAGCCGCTAATCTTCCGGTCAACTTCTGAACTTCTTTCAAGTTCCGCGGTGCCTCCATGTCCATGATTGCCTTCACTTTCTCAGGATTAGGCTCAATTCCCCGCTCGCTCATCATATAACCCAAAAATTTGCCCCCCCTGACTGCGAAGGCGCACTTTTTTGGATTCAGTCTCATGTTGGCCTTCTGCATGATCCCGAAGACCCTTTCCATATCCCGGACATGATCCCCCTTCATCCTGCTTTTGATTAGGATGTCATCTACATATGCCTCCATGGTTACCCCCAGTACTTCTTTGAAGAGTATGCCGATCATTCTTTGAAAAGTGGCCATTGCATTCTTCAGCCCGAACGGCATGACGATGTAGCAGAACACGCCGTCTGAGGTGACGAACGCAGTTTTTTCTGCATCATCTGGGTGCATGAAGACTTGGTGATAACCCCGGAAGGCATCCATAAAGCTCAGCAGTTCACATCCTGCTGTTTCGTCCACCAGCAGGTCTATTCGTGGGACCGGATAGGGGTCCATGGGGCAGGCTTTGTTCAGATCGGAGTAGTCCACACACATTCTCCAAGTAGATCCTTTTGGAGCAAGGACCACATTAGCCAACCATTCGACATGGATGACTGGTCTAATGTGCCTGATTCTCAGTAAGGTGGCTACCTCCTGCTTTGTGAATTCTCGCCGTTCGGCCGCCTGATATCTTTTCTTTTGTTGGACTGGCCTGGCATCTGGCCGAACGGCCAACCTGTGGCAGATGAGGGCCGGATCAATTCCCGGCATGTCTTCGGGCCCTCGGGCAAATAGGACCTGGAATCTCTTCAGAACAGCGATCACCCCCTCCCTGATTCCCCTTTCAAGGTCTGCCCCGATCGCAAGCTTACGATCGGGAGGGGAATCAAGCTCGATGTATTCTAGGAAGGTGGCTGGCTCAGGGCGTCCCTCGAACTCCGTACGCCGGGTCTGTACCTCAATGCTGTTTACCCGCTGTCCCCGGGTGGTCATTTGTTTCAAAGCTTCCCGGTAGCACGTTCGGGCTACGGCAGGATCTGTTCGGGCCACTCCTACACCGGTGTCAGTTGGGAATTTGATGCAGGAGTGTCGAACAGAGGCAATTGCCTCCAGATCTTCTAGCCCTGGACGGCCCAATATGGCATTGTGGGCACATGCAATATCCACCACCACAAACGTCATTCGGACTGCCGCTCGGTGGATTTCATCGCCAATTTCTACCAGAAGCTGGATGGTGCCTTCTGCCTCTATTACATTGCCGGTGAAGCTAGCCAGCGGTGTTTTCAGCTTGGTCAGCTGGTCCTTCTTCAGCTTCATCTTCTCCAACGTGCGTAAATACAGCACGTTCACACTGCTTCCCGTGTCCACCAGAACTCGGTGGATCAAGGCATTATCTATACACATACTCACCACTAGCTCGTCCCTGTGCGGACTTGGTGAGTTGGGTAAATCAGCTGCCCCGAACGTAACTGGCTCCAAGCGGCCCTTCTTTGTGGGAGGTGCAGCTACAGTGGCGACATAGAGGCTGCGCTCAAATTTCTTACGTTCGGCGGCCGTATCACCGGTCTCCCCTCCACCAAAGATGACTTTCACCTCCAATCGTGGCTTTTTTCCCGGATTCCCAGACCCCTCAGCCTCCTCTATAGGGGGAAGGTATGAATCATTACTGGGTTCTGCATCCCGCTGGGCATCCCTATTCCAGCTATTGGATCGGGGAGGGCGCTGATTAGGGGAAGGGTTGTTCAGGTTGGTACTGACATACTTCCTCAGGTAGCCCTTTTGGATCAGGTCCTCAATTGCCACATGTAGGGCGTGGCAATCCTTCGTGAGGTGCCCATTCCGTTGGTGGTATCTGCAGTAGGAGCTTGGGGTAGGTCCCATCACGGGCCTTGTGTCAGTAGGGGGAGGAATGGCGTTGTGTTCCAAATGGAAAACACCAGCTATAGACATGACCAGGGGGTGAAGCGCGTAGTCCTTCGATGAGGTGCTGCAGCCGCTGGTGTGGGTCCCAGACGTTCTGCCAGTCTTGAAGTGGGAGGTTGCGGGGCCGTTCGGTCCCTTATCCTGATCTCTTCTTCCAGGGCCGCATAGTTCTTGGCCCTTTCCAGGATGTCTGGGTAGCTGGTCCCCGGATTCCTCTTCAGCTCCCTGTATAAATCTCCCGTCTGAAGGGCATCGGTGAAAAGAAGGATGGCAGTCTCATCTGTCATGCCGGTCACCTTCAGGGTTTCGGTCCTCCACCTGGTGAGGAATCCGGAGATTGATTCTCTAGGCCCTTGCCTCACACTGGTTAGATACCCGAAATGTAATTTCGGGGTTGTGCTGGAGGCGAACTGAGCCAAGAACAAGGTGGATAGCTCCGCAAAGCTCCCGATCGACCCGGGTTGTAATGTTCCGAACCATTCCTGGGCTGGTCCCCGAAGGGTACTGAAGAACAGCCTGCATATTGCCGCGTCGGTGGCCCCCAATAGCATGAGGCCACCCTGGTAACTCCTCAGGTGTACGTGGGGATCTCCCACCCCATCGTATGCTAAGCCGGTCGAGGGACGGCAGTCCTTCAGGATTTCGGCGTTCATGATTTCCCTAGTAAAGGGAGAGGTGATCCCAACCCGTGCTGGCGGGGTTTGTTGGGGCGTCCGATTGACCTGCTCTCTGAGCTCAGTCATCTGTCTCCTCATTTCGGCCATTTCGTCGTCTTGGGCCGTTCGGGGAGTGTGTGGTATCCGAGCATCCACACATTCCGGTATTCTGTTCTGGGGAGGAGCAGCTATGTTAGCCCTCCTCCGGATGAAGCGTTCCCCATCCCTCTGGATATACTGGAAGTTTTGTCCAACGGGATCTATCATGGGGGTAGGTTCCATGTATCCGTTTCGAGGGGCGGACGGGGTTCGGCTGGTTGGTGCTCCTCGTCTGGGGGTATGGGCCCTCCAGTGGTTCCTGCGGCGTTCCTCGGAATGAACTGAGGCCATCGTAGTCTCGATGTCCTCCTCTTCGTCAAGAGATGGCATGGGACGCAATGGGGATGGTGGCTCATGAGTTTCATCGGTGTAGCCCTGTTCCTGTTCGTCCGCCATGCGTTGCATGGCCTCCGCCATCTCCCTCATCAACTGAGGGTTCATCCTTACATCCCGGGGGATGATCTGCTCGAACTCCCGAGTGGCACTGCCACTGGCGTGTCCTTGCCTGGACCACCCTTCAGAGGATCTATCGCCTCCTCGGCCTCTGGATGCAGAACTCGGTGTCGCGGTAGTAAGTCTAGCCATCTTTAAGAAAAAATGGTGCCTAGTGTGGACTCGGCTTTGTCTGGACTTTTAGTGTGGTTTCCCACAGACGGCGCCAATGTTGAGGTTTATTCCTGAAGATCCGAAAGCCCAACACAAGCCTTGGATATTGTGGGGATCTGGGGTAGGGTTGAAAATGTGTATAAAATATAAAATAGTGAGATAATATCCAACTCAAGAACTTACTTATATTCAGTAATTAAGCAATTACACTGAAACTACCCGAACGGTAGATGAATATGAGATTACAAGGATGGGAGATGTAAATCTATTGCTTAAGCTCTGAGTCTTAAAATGCTAACCCTTTACAATGATCTAAACATGGGTATTTATACTAAAATAGAGATGGATGAGGTGGACACGTGGTCAAATCCGGTAGGCTGTCACTTCTGCCATGTATACACCCATGCCCCCACTTGCTGTCGTCATGATCCAGCATTAAATGCGGCCTCCACTTGATGATTGCCCGTTCGGGCAGGGTGTTCGGTGTGTGGGACCCCGCCATAGGTGTTATCCTGCTTAGGAACATATCCCGAACGCCGATCGGTATCTCCGCCATAGGTGATCTAGTTAATGGAAGTGTCCCGAACGCCGATCGATACCTGGCCTTGATGATTTGGCATAATTGTTTCCCGGAATGTTCCAAGTATAAATTTTATCCCGAATGCCGTTCGAGAGTTCTTTTGGACTGCCTTGGGCCCGCTGCTTCTTCCTGGATTTGGGCCTAGGGATATTGGGCCTGGACCCAATATCCCAACAACGTGTATCCGTCAGGATACCAGTATCCGAAATTTTAAAATAATTACCAAAAAAATGAAAACTTTTAAAAATTACAAATACAGCCTGGGAACGTACGATACGGGTATCCTAGAATACCGGATACGAGAACGTTTCCAATACGCCAATATGGCACCCCAGTGAAGTATCCGTGCTTCATAGTATGTACCTATCCCCCGTCCTCTAATTTAATCGAATCCTAACTACTTAGCATTCTCAAGATGGTTATGTGGCGTGGTGATAAAAAAGTGAATTTATACGCTTACATTAAATTAATATAATGAAAATAAACCAAATTGATTTTGAATAATATAAATATTATCAAATTTAATACTTGTATGAGATGATGTTATTGAAATTGAATGAGTATTATGTTAAATGGCTAATAAAAAAATTGTATTAGAAAAATCTCTAAATAGTAAGACTGTTGGGATATTAGGGCCCGACTCAAATAGAGGCCCAAATATCCCTATTTTGTGTTTAGAATTTCAATGATGTCATATATTGATTTACTAAAGAGTGTCTTCGGTAATCAATAAAATATAAATTACTTGTATCAATTATCCAGATTGTTCAATAATATGTAAATGTCACGCCTCAATTGACAGAATTATTGTAAATGTGATTCCCACTAGCATGGTAAATGTCTATCACTTAAAGGATCATATTTATACAATTGAACAATTGAGCGTTGTGATTTACAAACTCAAAAACACTAGGTATTATTTTAAAAACTGAAAGTGTGATTCGCCTGTAATTCAACATATTCACCAGCCAATTCAATCATTTGAGACAAATTTTGCCAATTTTAAAAAACAATTAAGTCGACTTCAATGTTCTCAAATAGACTTCTAAACTTAAAACTTTAGCAAAGTTATACGTAGTATTGAGAAAGGTAAATTTGTTACAAGTAGTCAAGTTATAGAACACTGTTTCAGGGTGAAGTGGAATCAAAAATGGTACGGAGTACTATACTACTAGGTGTATAATGAATATTGATTCTCTAGTCTATTGAACGGTCCAAATTTTGAAATCGTTAATTGAATCACGGTTCGACATAGGTGGAGGAATTAGTAACACTCACAATAACAATTTGCTAGAAGTAATATTTTAATAGTTCATCCCTTTAATGTTAAGGATTTTTTTTTTATTTGAATTTATTTCAGTTTCAAATCAAATCATAACAAATCAGAATTAAACAGATCATATCAGATCAAATTTCGACAATTCTTAAGAGTGGACGGTGGACCGATTTAGTAGTGTCAGAGAATAGGCCAGTCCACAATACTAGACTAAGTCAAACCAAACCGGATGTAAGAGTGGACGGTGGACCGATTAGGTTGTGTCAGAGAATAGGCCAGTCCACAACTCTGAAATGAGCACACGGGTGCCATTTTGATGTAATGGATTGCAATATATGTCTATATAGTTCTTGAATGAAAAACAAAGTTATATTAGTAATTTAGTACCGAGTATTTGTTAAGTGTCGCATTTTCCACCAAACTGATGATATGTTGTTATATGTTTCTATTATAAATTAATCATTTTGAGCATGTTTTGGAAAAAAGATCCAATATGTTTACAGTAACATGTGTTGTTCAAGCAATTAGGTGAGAGTTGAGACGATTTTCGCCCGATGGATTTGTTTACATATTTGACATTTCACGGGAAGAAAAGAATTGAAGCAAAAAAAACCATTTCCCTTTTGAGTTACAGGATTCGAAAAAAAGTTGGGTTGGGACTCGAATTACATAAAGCACAGTCCCGAGAGCAAACAAGTACTGGAATTACATTTTTTAGAAAATGGAAATGTTGGTGAAAAACTAGTGAACTACTAAGGTAGGTTTCCATTTGAAAAACTGAAGCTCTCGCTGAGTTAGGGTGTGTGCTTCTGCAAGAAGGGGCCTAGGCCATTTGTAAGAGCTGATGATGGTGATGTCAGAGCAGCCTTCAGTAAGCTCAAAGCCTGGTTATAAAAAAACTAAACTTAGTATGTAAAGCATTTGAATTAATAGAAACTATGAGGAGTTGAGAAGTGGTTATTTCAACAATTACCTCTTTAGTACCGACAGTGACCCATTGCACCTCGGTCTGGCTGAAGGGAATGCCCAAACCCTTGAGTAAGAGGAAACTAGAAGCACCCGAAAGGGGCTTCACATCAAGATCATCCGGGACCAAGAACGCTGATGGTTCCACAGAAAAATTATCCCTCCCCCTCGGATTGATCAGATAAGAACTACTAGAATATGATGAGGGGCTGATAGATATGAGAGGCTGCGTCTTGCAGTTATGATGTTTGGCAATACCTGGGTTGAGCAAGTCTTTCTTAGACAACCAAAACCATTTGTGATCCAAATACACCACACTCTTGTACAAATTGTCCATACATGTTAATCCCGATTTGCCTTCCAAAACACTTATCATTGATCCTATAGGAGTGGTCAGAAAGGTGCACAAGAAATCAAAGAACTCATCTGTCGCTTCACCAAACAATATCTCTTTTGAAGACTTGACGCAAGTTACTTTTAGCTTCATGTTAGGGCCATTCTGATTAACTTGGACAGCAGCTGGTGAGGATGAAAAAGTAGTTCCAAGTTTCAGCTGCTTCATTTGGATTCCAGCTATGCCAGATCCCGCTTGCCGTTTTGCCAGAAAGACGTCACTTAAGGGAGACTCCGAAACCAGAGCGCATGCAAGCAGACAGATTAACTGCAACCAGTTTATAATTATATTATTGACAAAACTTGACTCATTTCAATCTTTCCAAATGAGTTTTCTATAAATTTGCCTAAAAAATAGATAGAATATGGTGGTTATCAAATTTATCAGTGGTCGATTGATTACCTGAGCCTTGGAAACATCAAGATGCATCTCCCTTATTGGCATTGCACTGCAATCTCCTGAACCGAGGTCGGGTATAAGTTCAGCAAAAACTGCAGGAGAGGCAGGCCTGACCTGTAAATCGTCACTGATTAAGAACTCTATTCCCCCTGTCAGAAAGGCCGCACCCTGATTACTTGAGGAACTGGAATCAACTGAAGGCTTCTCTTGTGTGGTCATCCCCCTTCCACATAAGCACCTAACATTTCTGTACATGCTATGATAGGGACAGCCCTGGTAGTTACAGGCGTAAGACAATTCGGACCCAGAATCATCAATGTTAATCTTCAACTTCTTGCAGTATTGGGCAAGGTGATTTCTTGGATTGAGAAGCATGTTCTTGCAGTACTCTGTCTGCCAGTACTCGCTGCTGAGGTTTTGAATACCCGTGTATAGCTTGTTCATGCACCCTATTGTTACAGAAGCTGTGGGTTCATCCTTTGCAGAGGTGATGAGTCTGATGATGGTTCCCATTGGGAAGGTGAGAAAGCTGAAGAGTATTTCAACGAAGTCCTTGTTAGCCTCCGCGGCCAGTACTCGATTATTCTTCTCATCTATCAACAGCTTCAGGGGTACAACTACCGGCTCTTTCTTTACCGCCACCATGAACACTGCACAGTTACTGCAGTCTGCAAAAGAAAATGTTGTTACGTTGATCAGCCTTTGGTTTAAAAAACTTGATCCACTTCCAGGTGTATTTAAAAAGCACAGACGCGAGAAGCTGAAAGGCCTTTGATTTTAAAAACTTGCATAGTGTGAACCGTATGTTTGAAATTCATTTATTTAGCTCTGTTCCTGGTCCTCGTAATTTGGTCGCAATCAAAATGAAATTTTGATATTTTTGGAAAATGCCATTTCAGCCAAAAGATAAACGGTATGACTTCTTTTAACCTTTTTATAAGTAAAAGAATTGTTTGTTTATCAAGAATAAAGGATCTGGATTGGACTTATTTAGCTCTAGAATTCTGGGCCTATCTATTATTCTTTGGGCCTTATTATTTTGTTATATCCTTTATGTAATAAGGTATAAATACCTTCAGCAGATTGTATTTTAGATTAAGACTTTTACTCATTCTATTTCAATCGGCTCTCTTCCTCTCTGAGAAAACGATCTGCATCTTTGATTCATCATCAATTCAATCTGTTTCTTGAGAATTAATCTTCACATGGTATCAGATTAGGTATCGATCCTACATCAATTTCCTTCCTATTCACTGATTTCGATTTCTATAATCGAATCCTTCTCGTTCTGAAATTTTTTGTCTGAAACCCTAATTTCTTCGCACCATACTAGTTGCGATGAATCAGACTGCTATTTTCCCGATGCATCCTACAGAAGATCCTTCATCTCCCTACTATCTACATCCAAGCGATCATGCTGGCCTTCGTCTTATCTATGAGACGCTCACTGGAGATAATTTCAATGCCTGGAAGAAATCTGCGACTATGGCGCTTACTGTCAAGAACAAAATGGCTTTCCTGGATGGTTCTATAGCACAACCGAGTTCAGATGATTCCACATACTCTGTTTGGTATCATATAAATGCTTTGCTTCTCTCTTGGTTGATCTATTCTATTTCTCCTGAAATTCGTCCTACTTTCTTGTATTTCAACACTGCTAAGGATCTTTGGGATGAAATACAACTTAGGTATGGTAAGAGTGATGGTCCTAGACTCTTTTACCTTGAAAAAACCCTAGGAAATATATCTCAGGGAACTCAAACTGTTACTGCTTATTACAATACATTTAAAGGTCTTTGGGATGAATATGCTGATTTCAAAACCCTTCCACCTTGCTCCTGTGGTCTTTGTACTTGTAAGATTCATGAAAAATATCAACAGTTGCTTGACAAAGAATCTGTCCAAAAATTTCTAGTTGGTCTTAATGAGTCTTACTCTGCTCTCAGAGGACAAATTCTTCTTCAAACTCCCTTTCCTAGCCTGTCTACTGTGTATTCTTTCTTTCTTCAAGAGGAATCACAAAGAACACTTCAACATCCTGTCAACTCTGTTCCTTTTCTTCCTGATCCCTCATCTACTGCTGATTCCACTGCCTTTTTAGTAAAAAATTCCACCTACAAAAAGAAATCTCCGGTTACTTGCACTCATTGTGGTTATCAAGGTCATTCTGCCGAGAAGTGTTTCGAAGTCATTGGTTACCCTCCTACCTGGAAAGGGCCTAAAGGACTAAGGACTGCTCCTGGTTTCAAGTTGCCATCAACATCTGCTAAAAACACTCATGCTCACCTAGCCAACACATCAAATGAATCATCTTATGTGATCCATCTTTATACAACAAATTCCTTGAATTTATGAAGGCTCAGAATGACAAACATGTCTCTTCTGCTTCTGCTCATATTGCCATGACTGCTCCTACTGTTCCTGATCAGTCTTATCATGATTCTCAGTTCATTGGTAATCACTCAACTTTTATATCTAGTGTTCAATCTTCTATTTGGATTTTGGACACTGGAGCTTCTGATCATATGACTCATAATTTCCAATTATATACTTCTTCTCCTAAAACTATTTCTATTAATGTTCAATTACCTACAGGATCTTTTATTACTGCTACTCATATTGGTGATATCAAAATAAATAATAACTTTACCTTACATAATGTATTATATGTTCCACAATTTAATTTTAATCTCATGTCTATTTCCAGTCTTGTTCTTCATGAAAATATTTCTGTTCATTTTTCTTCTAATCATGCTACTTTGCAGGATCTTCGCACCAACCAAATGATTGGTTATGCTGATCTCAAAAGTGGTCTATATCTCTATAATTCCTCTGACTCTTCCATGTCAACAAATAAACACTCTGTTGTTAATGTTGCTCATAGTCCAAATTCAGATTCTCCATCTGATATTTGGCATTATAGACTAGGTCATTTGCCTTTCAATAAACTGCATTCTCTTGTTGGTTGTAATATTCAGCATCATATGAATAAAAACACTTTCTGTGATATTTGTCATTTTGCTAAACAAAAGAAATTGCCTTTTTCTAATTGTACCTCTTATGCTTTACATGCTTTTGATCTTGTACATATGGATGTTTGGGGTCCTTTTAGAACTGAATCTTATTCTGGTTTTAAATATTTTTTAACTATTGTTGATGATCATACTAGATGCACTTGGGTTTTCATGATGAAAAACAAATCTGAAGTTAAGTTTCATATGTTGACTTTTCATAATCTGATTCTTACTCAATTTCATACTAAGATTAAAGTTATTAGAACTGACAATGGCACTGAATTTATTTTTCCTTCATTCTATACTGATAATGGCATTATTCATCAATTATCTTGTGTTGAAACCCCTCAGCAAAATGCTAGGGTTGAAAGAAAACATCAGCATATTCTTCAAGTTGCAAGATCTCTTTTGTTTCAGTCTTGTTTGCCTCTCATTTTTTGGTCTGATTGCATTCTTACTGCTGTGCATATTATAAATAGAATTCCTAGTTCTATTCTTAATAATAAATCTCCCTATGAATTATTATATGGTAAGATGCCTGATTATTCTCATCTCAGGGTTTTTGGTTCTCTTGCATATGCTTCTACCTTATCTGCAGATAGGTCAAAATTTGACAAAAGGGCTGTTAAATGTGTTTTTATTGGATATCCTCTAGGAACCAAAGGATATAAACTGTATGATATCTCTAATCACAAATTTTTTATATCCAGAAATGTTAAATTTTATGAAATGATTTTTCCTTACAAAACTAATTCTGATTCTTCTAATCATGATCACAATGACTTTGTTTTAGATTTCTCCAACTCTGATGCTTACACTTATGAATATCACACACCTCCTGCTCACTATTTAGATAATCAGATTAATGAAGAAATCAATACTATGACTACAAGTAATTCTACTACTAATACTGAAACTGTTTCTGAGGATCAGTCCCACAGAAAATCCACCAGAGTAAGATCTCTACCTATTCATCTTCAAGATTACAATTATGAATTACCTAACTCAATCACTACAGGTATTTCTTCTTCTTCTTCATGTAATCTTGTTAGATATCCTATTCAAAACCATATAACATACAATAGATTAGGAAATTCTCATTCTTACTTTACTGCTGCTCTTTCAAAACTTACTGAACCTAAAACTTATAAACAGGCTGCTAAATTTCCTGAGTGGCAGAATGCTATGACAAATGAAATCCAAGCTTTAGAAAATAATAACACTTGGGTATTAGTTCCACCTCCTTCTAATCATAATATCATTGGATGTAAATGGGTTTTTAAAACAAAACTAAAACCTGATGGTTCTTTAGATAGATATAAAGCCAGATTAGTAGCTAAAGGATATACTCAAGAAGAAGGTTTTGATTATTTTGACACTTTTTCACCTGTTGTTAAATTAACAACTGTTAGAATTATATTGGCTATTGCTAGTGCTAAAAACTGGTTTTTACATCAACTTGATGTAAATAATGCTTTTTTACATGGTGACTTAAATGAAGATATTTTTATGCAGCCTCCTCCAGGTTATTTGCCTTCCACTGATAACAGAATCTGCAAACTTGTTAAGAGTCTCTATGGTATTAAACAAGCATCTAGGCAATGGTTTTGTAAGCTCTCTGACTCTCTCAAACTTTTTGGTTACACACAGTCTCAAGCTGACTTTTCTTTATTTACAAAAATCACTAATACCTCTCTTACTGTACTCTTAGTATATGTAGATGATATAATCCTTGCTGGAAATAATGTGGAAGAAATCACTGCAGTGAAAACTTATTTAAATAACAAATTTACCATAAAAGATATTGGAGAATTAAAATATATTTTAGGAATTGAAATTGCTAGATCTGATAAAGGTATAAATCTTTGTCAAAGAAAATACACTTTAGATATTCTAACTGAATATGGATATCTTCATTCTAAACCTTATACTACTCCTATGGATTCAAAAATAAAATTATCTAAAAATGATGGAAGCATCTTAGAAAATCCTAAAACTTATAGAACCCTTATTGGAAAACTGCTTTACTTAACTGTAACTCGGCCTGATATTGCTTATAGTGTACAAGTTCTTAGTCAGTTTCTTGCTTCCCCTATTGATGTTCATATGAGTGCAGCTCATAGGGTTCTGAGATACCTGAAAAGTTCTCCAGGTAAAGGTTTACTTTATCCTTGTATTTCTGATTTTTCTGTTCAAGGTTACACTGATTCAGACTGGGCAGCTTGTGTAGATACTAGAAGAAGTGTTTCAGGTTATGCTTTCTACCTTGGTAATTCTTTAATTTCTTGGAAATCTAAAAAACAACAGGTTGTCAGTAGATCTTCTACTGAAGCAGAATATAGGGCTGCTGCTAATGCAGTCTGTGAGGCTCAATGGTTATCTTACATTTTCAATGATTTACATATACCAATCTCTTTACCTATAATTATTTACACAGATAATAAATCTACCTATCACCTTGCTCATAATCCCATTCAACATCAAAGAACTAAGCATATAGAACTGGACTGTCATTTGGTAAGAGAAAAAATTAATTCTGGATTAATTACTATGATTCATATTAAGAATAATTTTCAACTTGCAGATATTTATACAAAACCGCTTGGAAATCCTCTGTTTAGCCAGTTTGCACTCAAGATGAACATGCTAGACATACATGCTCCTCTTGAGGGGGCGTATCAAGAATAAAGGATCTGGATTGGACTTATTTAGCTCTAGAATGTTGGGCCTATCTATTATTCTTTGGGCCTTATTATTTTGTTATATCCTTTATGTAATAAGGTATAAATACCTTCAGCAGATTGTATTTTAGATTAAGACTTTTACTCATTCTATTTCAATCGGCTCTCTTCCTCTCTGAGAAAACGATCTGCATCTTTGATTCATCATCAATTCAATCTGTTTCTTGAGAATTAATCTTCACATTGTTAAATATTTGTTGGGCCCTAATGGTTTTGAATGGAAAAAGAAGTGGAAATGCTGCAATATGAGAATTTTTTAGTTAAATTTTTGAAATATAGTGTTTTCTACTAATTTTTATGGACAAACAGTTAAACTACAATATTGGAGGCCCTATTATAATTTCAAATCAGAAGGTATTCAATAACTTTAGAAAAATATTTGTACAATTTCCAAGAAAAGGAAACCCTATTTTACAAATTACCCCCTCATTTAAAAAAACTATGGAGTAATTATTATATAAAGTCATTCGGCAAGTCATTCGGAGTAATTGCATTGCCCAAAATGCATATAAGTCGTTACATGAAAGCATTACAATCATGAGTAATGACTATTAATGTGTAAAATCTCATAATATATAAAAGAACACCCTTAACCCTTGCTGTATTATTTATTGAAATTATCATACTGCATTAGTAGTTCCTCTCTAACAAGATGATTTGCAATTTGCGAAGCCTGTTTTTCTTGAGCAATACAGTTAGATTTAAATATAACTTTACCCTATATGATAGAACATTTGAGTTGGCAATGGTATGGGACTTCGTTGGCAGCAGCCTAATGTAGAGGTCATGTTCTCCACTTCTCCTTCTGGTGCTCTTCTGCTAGATTTTTTTGAGTTCTTTACTATTGGAAAGGATTAAAGAACTACTTTATAAGGAAACTAATGGATAGTCTTGCCAATTTACTGATTTGCTGATTTGTTGTTTATGAGGAAATATGTTGAATGTTTATGACTCGTACACCAATGGTGTAATGTTTAGACTCTTTCATTTGATGCTTAAGTAATGTTTGTTTATGTGATACTTAAAATTAGGAGGAGGTATCCTTTGTATATATATTTCTGCAGTTACTTCTATATTTAGCTTTCATTGAAGAATAGGAATTCAAACGAAGAAATTAAATTTAATATATGCTCCTATTGATAAACAGAAATAAATTAACAATAGAAGGTACTGGAGTGCTCGAGATCACAGGAATACAAGATACATTGAAATGAACTTAGTTTCTTGCATATCAAGATCTAGCTTAGAGGATTTCGCGAGATTAATTGGCACTATGCCTTATGCATCTGCAAGAAGCGGCCTAAGCCATTTGTCAGAGCTCCTGATGGGGATGTAAGTGCCGCCTTCAGAAGGTTCAATGCCTGCAACTGTATTCAAGAATGCAACGATAGCTAACGTAACAAAATTACTTTGCTAACAAAATTACAGCCGAATGGACATGATCTTCTAACCAGACACCACCATTTGAGACGGTTCCTGATGATTTTGTTTTATAAATTTTTTGAACATGTTTTTTATGAAATGCAAAACATTTCCACAAAATTTCAGCTTAAAATTCAATCAGAAAATCAGTTAAATAAATTATTAAAACAATCTGTGCCAACTATATACTCCCTCCGTCCCAAAATAAATGTCTAGTTTGCTTTAGCACAAGTTTTTAGAAAGTGGTTGAAAATGTAAAAGTTGTGGTTAAGATTTGAGTAGAAAAGAGTGAATTGATATGAGCCACACATTATTGCCAAAAGAGGAAACAAGATAATTATTTTTGGACGGACCGAAAAGGAAAGCTGGGAAGTTATTTCGGGGCAGAGGGAGTATATAACAGCACACGGTATGTTTCAATTTAGTTAATTGACTTCCTGATTGGATTTTAAGATAATAGTTTGTGGACATAATCAACACTTTACAAAGAACATGCTTAAATATTTTCATTAAAAATTTCCATCGGGAACCTCCTCTGATGGCAGCGGCCGAACGGAGGATACCATCCGGACGGCTGGACATGATCCTTTTCCATTACTTAGATGCTATTAATTTCGTCCTATTAAAATTAGCCTATTTTTTTCTGTTTTAATTATCCCACTACAGTGGCGGAGCCAGAGCATTCGGCTGAAAGGAGTTGGTAGAAAGAATATTTTTGTAAAAAAAAAATATACACTGAAATTTTTACCTTAAAAATTAAAGCATATTTTAAAGTAGGGTGAGCCATGGCCCTCACCTAGATCCTTTCATGTCTCACTAGATTTGTCTCATTCTAAATTTAGTAAAGTTAGAGTAGTTATATATCATTTTTACTTTATTCTTATTTAATCAATTCAATATCAATCACATAGACTGATTTTACTTATAAATCACACCACCCCCGCATTTCCCAATTAATGTTAGTGGAATCATTTTCTTCATAAAGGAGGAAAAATCAATGACTAAATTAAATGTAATGTATTTACATCTATGTACTAAAAACATAAATGGGGGGAGGGCTGGACTCGGGCCGGTTCGGGCCTGGGCCCGGCCGGGTCTCGGGCCAGAAAACTGGGGCCCGAGCCCGAACCGCCGGTGGCCGGTTCCGGTTCCGGGCCAAACCGGTCTATTTTTTTTTTTTTTTTTTATTATTTTGGCTCTCCTATTTAACCCCCTATCCCTCCCCCTCAACCCCGAACCACCCCAAACCACCTCAAATGACCCAAAATACCTAATCCAATCCAAAACTTAAAAAAATTTCAAAAAAAAAAAAACATCCGGCCCGGACCAGGCCCGAACCGGCCGGGCCGGTTCACCTAAAGCAGGGCCCGAGCCCGGACAGCCCATCACCCGGGCCGGGCCAAACCGAACCGATGGACCCACCGGGCCCCGGGCCGGGCCGGGCCAAACAGTAACCGGGCCGGGCCGATTCCGGGTCGGGCCGCCCGGCCCGAGTCCACCCCTAAATGGGGGGTTTGGTGAACAAAAGTTGTACAGAAAATACGGTTGTTTAAAAAATATGACCTCTTGAGCATAATGATTATTGTAGTAACTTAGTCATAATAACTTACATTCAATTTTTATACCTATATGACCTTGACAATATACTTATAGTAACTTTAACTCTAGTCATACTTTTCTAAATATATAAGTTTTATTTCAATAACATTTAAAAAAAACTCATTTAAAATAGAAAACATAAATTGAAATAATCTAAACTTCTACTAGGATGTAGTGAACATTTTTTAAAAACCCATTTGTGACATAAACAATACTTCTATTACATTTGATCTATGTAATTACAACACTTTTAATTTGAAAATTTAATTTCCTCATTGACCATCAGTAAACATTGATTAAAAATAAATAAATTTCAATCCGAAATAAGTTTTATTATCTATTTTATTATATAGAACAGTTTTTTAGTACAGCAATAAATAAAAAACGAGTCAAATGGAGTTTGTAACTTATGAAAAAATCAAAGGAGAGTGCAAATAATGTAAAAATAAATGTGTTTTACCTCTTAAAGAATAGAGAAATATGAATATGTTTTAATTAGGTACTCTGACAATCTCAATGCATGGCATCACTCATACCTTTTCTTTTCTTCAATAATTGAAAAGTAGTTTGAGTTTTACATTATCTTCCTACAGTACTTTGACATTTGCTACACCATCCACACACTAATTTAATTTCTTTTTAGTTGTTACTGTACCAAATATTTTTTTTATAAAAAATATATTATAAATTTGTCTTAGACTGATATTCTAAACACGTGTTTTATAATTTTCATTACTAGTCAATAAAATACTTTGTACCACGTACTACGTGTGTTAATGGGGAAAACTGTTTCTTAATAAACATTAAAATAAAAGTGTTGCAATTATATAGTGATTTTGTGCCAGTGTTGTTTATTTGACACTGACCAAATAGTTAAATGTAGCATAACTAAGCTTTAGCGTAGGGAATGGGAGTATGCAAAAATTACCTCTTCCATGCTAACCGTGAGTGCTTGCTGCTCAATCTCAGTGATGGGGACTTTGAGTTCCTTCAGAATGCTAAAGCTTGATGCAGAAGACAGAGGCCTCACTTCCAAGTCATCTAAAATTATGAACTCTAAAAGTTCTTTGGAGAAGCTATCACTAAGCCTGGGGTCAATCAGACTATCCGATGAACATTCTTCCTCCAAATTTAGAGGCTGTTTCTTACAGTTATGGTGCTGTGCAACTTTGGGGCACATTAAGGTCGCCTTCATAGCATCCGACTTAAACCATTTAATATCCAACTCAACCATACTTTTGTACAAGTCATCCATGCAGCCTAACCCAGAATTCCCTTTCAAAAGATACATCATTGATCCGAGAGGGCTAGTCATAAAGGTACACAGGAAATCAAAGAAGTCCTTGGTGGCTTCTGCAAACAATATCTCGTTTGTAGACTTGTTCAACGTCAAATTCAGATTCAACTTCTGAGCATTTCCCTCTGGTTTCTGGACAAAATCATTTGTTGTGGATGTCACTGGTTTCTGGGTTTTCGAATGTACGCTAAAAGCTCCTACATTTGGTCTTACGGGAGAGTCAAGAAACACGCCGGATAAAGGAGATTTTGAAACCATTGAGTATGCAAGCAGGCGGATCACCTGCAAACATAACATAATGTAGGAATGGTATCATATGGAGTATTTTTAAGAGGTAGGAGTATCCATACACAATGCCCAATGCGGCCGCAATGTTGCGGTTGTGAGCGGCACCACAACTGTATCAAGTCACAATGGCGGTGAGATTTTAATTCAGAGGAAAAATCCACAACATAATTGCAGCACAAACCGCAATGTACAATAATTTAAGAAAAAACTGTCAAATAAGTCTCTATACTTTTACGAAAAAGTCAATTGAGTTCTACTACTTTTAAGCGAGTTAATTAGGTCCACAAAATGTTAAAAATTAATCAAATTCACTGTTTTGTAGGTTAAAATCAGGTTTCCCGTATGACGGGTGACGTCAATGTCTACAAAGTGAGTTAATTTTTCTACTCCGTACTACTTTTAAGCGAGTTAATTAGATCCACAAAGTGTTAAAAATTAATCAAATTCATTTTATTTTTTAATTTTCTCTTGTTTTGTAATTTTTCTATTCTTTTTTTCTTTTTTCTTTTTCTCCTTTTTCCTTTTCTCTTTATTTCTCTCCAGGATCCGTTCTTTCTTCTCCGATCCCCCAAGCCCCCAACTCCCAAGTCCGTTCTTTCTTCTCCCCCAAACCCCAAGTGCATTTCCTTTCCCCCCGTCTTTCTTCTCCGGCGAGATTTCGACCTCCACCACCGGCATGAGGGACTTTATCTCTGACTCCCATGGTTTGAAATAGCAGCCCGCTATATAGCGGTCGCGGTAGGGGCCGCTACCATTACGGCATGCTATTCGTGTGTGAGTTTCAAATCACGGGAAAAATTCGCTACGCCGCCTGCTAGCTACAACCCGCGATTGATATTTTCGGCAGTACATCACGAACTGTTTGATGTCTAAGTGTGTAAATGTTGTGTGAATGATGTGAAAAAATACATTAATGGTGATGCATAAAGCGAAACTCAAAATTAAATGTATCTATCCACATACATTATGGTAGCAAATATTAATAAATATGAAAATTACAATTATTAAAGCCGAATTAATTATTAATAAGGATGATTTAACTTTAATATCAGTTGACGAAAAAAATGTTAACTTAACAAAACAATTTGGAACGGAATTATTAAATTATTTAGTTTACCAATCGTTCTAATTATCATTCTCTTTTAATTGTCATATTCTTATTGGTTGATTAGTTGTTAATGTTATAAGTGTTCAAACAAATATTCATAATGTTTCTATTAACTTTAACACCCATTAAATATATGTTTTGCGCAATTGAAAATATTTCACGTCACTATAACCGCTACAGTAGGCTACAGGCCACTACAGTTGCCGCTACGGCTATTTAAAACCTTGCTGATTCCATGGTTTGAAATAGCGGCCCGCTACCGCTATAGCGGCCGCTATATAGCGGTCGCGGTAGGGGCCGCTACCGCTACGGCCTGCTATTCGTGTGTGATTTCCAAATCACGGGAAAAATCCGATGCGCCGCCCGCTATTGACATTTTCGGCAGTACATCACAAACTGTTTGATGTGTAAATGTTGTGTGAATGATGTGAAAAAATACATTAATGGTGATGCATGGAGTGAAACTCAATTTAAAATTAAATGTTGTGTGAATGATGTGAAAAAATACATTTATGTTTGGCTCAATTGAAAACCTTGGCTGACTCCTCCGTCAGAACGATCTCCGCCACCGCCACCTCCATACCCACCACATTCGCCGTCCGCCCGCCGTTATCCCCATGTCCACCACCTCCGCCGCCCCTACCTTAATAGCCACCACTTACGCCGCCGCGGCTCCCCTACATCCATACCTACCACCTTTGCCGCCCCTACCTTCATTCCCACCACCTCTGGACTGCCGCCCCTACCTCCATATACCTTCCATAGCCACAGCCTCCAGGAAGTCTCATCCCCTTCTATGTTTGGTGATGGAGACTGGAACAAGGTCAAGGAGGGACTGAGATCGGAGGTGAACGAAATAAAGAAAGAAATGGAAATGAAGAAATGGCGAAGAAGAACGGGTCTGGGTCTGTGGGAGAGAAGTAGACAACAGTGAAAAGAAAGGAGAAACAAAAAGAAAATAAAAAAGAAAACGAAAAAGAATAAAAATAATACTATCCTTCCTTTTTTTAATCGCAACATGTTGAATTTTGCACTATTCACATGTTCTACTTTGACTACATTTTATGATATTATTTTACGAAAATTATTTTTTAAAAAGATATTGTTCAATTCATCTTATTACAAATTTTCAAAATCTGATTTTTATTTATTTTTTACTAATAGAGATTAAGATATAATTACGGTTAAAAAGAAGTGTGTTGGCAAGTGTGAAATGTTGACCGTTGCAACTAAAAAAGAACAGATGAAGTACTTACAAAACAGTAAAAAGGGCGAGCTGGATGTCCACACTCGAGCAACCGAAGTACCGTCACCGGTAAAATAGTGAATTTGATCACTTTTTAACATTTTGTGGACCTAATTGATTCGATTAAAAGTGGCTTGACATAATTGATTTTTTCGTGAAAGTACAAGAACTTATTTGATAGTTTTCTCATAATTTAATGTTTTTCTTATTTTGTTTTATAGAAAAATTTATTCACGCCTCATCTGTAGCAATACGGGTTGCAGCGGGCACAATACTCACAAATAGTAAAACCTAAATTTGTTAAGTAGGCTAATTGTGATGAAACTTATGAAGTTCTGGGAAAAGTAGTTGTGTTGGCGGATTCTGCTGATTTATATAACAATTATATTTAAAATATACTGCGTATTATATATGAAAAATAGATAAAATGGTCGTCTACGATAACTTCATAGATTACTTCATGTATTATACAACTACAAAACAACTACAAGATTACTTTTTATTATTATTACACAATTCAGCCTATGAAAAAAAGTTATATGTTTCGTGAAAAAATTGACTAACAAGCATTAACAAGCGGAATAACATGCTCTTAAACTGATTTTTCTGTAGATCTAATGGATTTACTTCAATTATCAATTTAAAATGGAGTTATGGTACCTGCTGCTTACTAAGTTGTACAGGCATCTCCTTGATTAGGTTGATATCGCTTGAACCAAGACTTGATAGAACCTGAGCAAGAACGGTTGGGGAAGATGGTCTGATTTGTAAATTGTCAGTGATAATGAACATCATCATCCCCCACTTGAGGAAGGCACCCTCAGGCTCAGGTTCGCGATCTGCCAAAGAGATAAACACTGGTCTTCTGCGAAAACTGTCGTGAATGTTATTGGTCCTGTAGCCAAGCCCACACTTGCACGCAACATTTTCGTACTTGCTCCTACACGTGTTACGGCTACACATGTAAGTCACCTCGGACCCAGAATCATCGACATTAATCTTCAAATTCCTGTAGGAATAAGCCAGCGCATTTCTGGGGTTCAACACCATGGTCCGGCACTGTTTCGTCTTCCAGTTTTCTGGGGTGAGGTTTTCAAAAGCATGGTACAACTTGGTCATGCACCCAATATTCACAGGTCCTGCTTTTTCCGTATCTGTTTTGCTGGTGAGCCTGATTATGGTTCCCATGGGGATGGTGAGGAAGCTGAGGAGTATATCCACGAAATCCGAGTTTGCTTCTGCAGCCAGGACTCGGTTGTTCTTCTCGTCTATCAAAAGCTTCAAGCAAACAGGGGATTCTTGCTTCGTCTCCATATTACAAGTGATGGTTATATATAATCAGGTTCAAGAACTGGCGTTAAGCTTAACAAACTGTCTATATCTATCGAGAAGAGAAAATTGTTGGAACTTGGAAGGCAACATATATACTCAAAGTTGGCCAAGGAAATGATATGTAATCCACTTCCCCGTACGAGCATTGAAAGGCCTCAGACTATTTATTATACTGCGAGTGTGTATTGAATAGTGGTGGATACATACGAAGGAGTGAAGGACTACTGTATTTTAGACTACACCTAATCCCTCAAATTGGAATCTACAACTAATTGTTCGTCTTAACCAGAAAGATAGTTAGCCCACTCCTATGAGCTGAAATCAGTGAAAAACAATCAAACTCAAATTAGTGAAAAGAAGGAAATTTATCAGATGATTGAAATTTCTATAACTATGGTTAAGAAATTAATATGACCAAACACAAATTATGAGACAAAAATACCAATTTATGTTTTCAATAACCTATTACGGAGTATTAAAAAAGTTCACTTCATTAATCAAAATCACTTTAATTCACACTCAGCGTCACTCAACTTTCATCGGTTTAACTGTTCGACTCGAGTTCAGTGCACTTCTTGTAGTTATCACCGTCCTTTCCACTGATGTCACCACCCTTCTCGCCGATGCCTTTGTACCGCCATCACTTCTCTTCCCACTAGTGTCACCCAGGATGGCCACAGGGGTGCAACAGGGGCTATTGTCCTAGGCCCATGAAAAACGGAAACTTTTTTGGGCCCACTATTATTAGTTTTTTGTATGAATTGAGTCAGCATCATTAATTGGCACGTCAAAATAAATGTGTGATATTGATGTGAAAAATACATTATTTAGATTTTAGGCACATAAATTTTTGTCAGTTAACTAGCAATTGTTGTCTATTAACACCCAACTATTGACTATGCACACAAGAATTAGTTTGCACACCAGGATTATATTGTCCTGTCCAGCTGTCAGTATACCTTAGGATGAAAATTATGTTTGTGAAAGCATAAAAGAGTTGCACGTGTCCAACACCAATTGTCTACAACTTAGAAACATGTACGTAGTATACAAAATGTAAGCTTTTTGTACACAAAGTAATTTTGATCATTAAAATGGTTTTTTCCAAGCTGATTTCCAATTATGTTAAACAAAAGTTAAAAACGCATTTACTAAAATACAAATTATTCTAAATTTCTAAGATTTGGGTGACAGAACTGACCCTAGAAAAATAACAAGTAGACTTTCAAATCATATGATTCCAAACAAAATGGGTTCAAAGTAGAATTACATTTTTTACACAAAGGAAGTAAAGAACTGGACTTTCAAGGTAGGCTTTCATTTGAAAAATGAAGCTGTGCGCTCGCTGTGATATTCAGAGGGACATATATATGTAATCATGTAAAGAGTGCTATGCTGGTTTCTGCTTCTTCAAGAAGGGGCCTAAGCCAATTGTAAGAGCAGATGATGGTGACGTAAGAGCAGCCTTCAGTAGGCTCAATGCCTGCAAACAAGGTTAAAAAAGCAATCTTATGCATATGCATGGACTCATTGTAATTTATCTAAATAGAAAATGGTGGTATAGTTCTTAATTTATCCATCACCTCTTTGTTACCGACAGAGACGTATTGCACTTCAGTCTGAGAGAAAGGCCCTTCCAATTCCTTTAGTAAGAGGAAACTGGAGGCAGCAGAAAGAGCCTTCAAGGCAAGATAATCTGGAACCAAGAACACAGACGGCTCTACTGCAAAATTATAGCTGCCCCTTGGGTTAATCAGATACCTATCGCGAGATATGCTCGTGATATATCAGTTAAATCTGATGAAATTCACCGTGCTGTTTATTCATCTATCGTTGAGTATAAATAGCAGTACAAGTACATAATAGATTACAAGTCAAATCTTATCTAATTAATCTAACTATCCGTATATATCAACTATCCGTATAGTAAGTAGTAGTACAACAACCTATAGATGGATAGTGATAACCTTCCGTAATAGAAGGAAATAATAACAGTAAGGAAGCTTTCTAGGAGTATGTCCACATGCATCCGTAGTAGGATTGGGTTCACTGTTGTATGGCCGTGCATGGATTAAATAGTAACACTGTACATTATTAATAAAATAATATGTACGTTAACAGCCCCCCGCAGTGGCAACGGGAGAAGAGTGAACGTTGAGACTGGAGCGGAATTCTTCGAATAAAATCCGAGGCAATCCTTTGGTGAATATGTCAGCATATTGATGACGTGATGGAACATGTAGTACACGAACCTCACCACGAGCAACCTTCTCTCTAACAAAATGTATATCAAGTTCAATGTGTTTAGTACGTTGATGATGAACGAGATTGCCAGTCATGTACACGGAGCTTATATTGTCACAATAAACTAATGAAGCAGTGTGAAGAGGGCATTGTAATTCCAATAGTAAATTACGCAGCCAGCAAAGATCGGCAACCACATTTGCAACCCCACGATACTCGGCCTCAGCACTGGACCGAGAAATAGTAGGTTGTCGTTTCGAAGACCAAGAGATAAGGTTATCACCAAGATAAACACAATACCCAGAAGTGGACCGGCGGGTATCCGGACAACCGGCCCAGTCGGCATCCGTGTAGGCGACAAGAGAGGAGCAAGGAGATGGCCTAATATGGAGACCGTGATGTAAAGTGCCACGAATATAACGTAGAATACGTTTCAAAGCATGAAGATGAGGAGCTCGGGGGTCATGCATGAAGAGACAAATTTGTTGGACGGCGTAAGAGATATCCGGGCGGGTGAAGGTGAGATACTGGAGGGCGCCGGCGAGACTTCTAAATAAGGTGGAATCAGGGACAGGCGGTCCAGCCGTGGCACTCAGCTTGGCGGCAGTGTCCACCGGAGTAGAAACTGGGTTACATGTGAACATGCCAGCGCGGTTGAGTATTTCCGTAGCATACTTGGACTGTGAAAGAAAAATACCATTTGTGTCTCGGGCAACATGAATGCCTAGAAAATATGTCAAAGGCCCCAAATCTGTCATTGCAAACTCCATGCTTAGAGAGGATATAATGGTGCGTCGAAGTTGATCAGTAGAAGTGGTGAGAATAATATCATCAACGTATAAGAGAAGAAAAGCTGTGTCATTGCCTTTTTTATAAATGAACAAAGAGTGATCACATTTACTTGGCCGAAAACCAATTGTGGTGATGAAAGAGGAGAATCGCCGGTACCAAGCGCGTGGAGCCTGTTTGAGTCCATATAAGGACTTCCGAAGACGGCATACATGATTAGGATGAGCACGGTCTTTGAAGCCGGGAGGTTGATGCATATAAACGGTCTCATCAATGGTGCCATGAAGAAAGGCGTTTTTGACGTCCAATTGATGGAGTGGCCATGAACGAGAAAGCGCCAAAGCAAGAACAGTACGTATAGTGGCAGGTTTGACAACGGGGCTGAAGGTGTCATCAAAGTCAATACCTGGTTGTTGAGAGCGTCCGTTAACAACAAGGCGTGCTTTGTGGCGTTCAAGTGTACCATCAGACCTGTATTTATGTTTAAACAACCACATGCATCGAATAATATTGACGTTAGAGGGACGGGGAACCAACTCCCACGTATTATTTTTAATGAGAGCACCAAATTCATCACACATTGCAGATTTCCAGTTCGGATCCTGGAGAGCCGTGAGAGGAGATTTTGGGATAGGGGAGACTTCTGTCGAGATGGGACAATGTGTAACGTGGAGAGAAAACGGAGCCTTAGGTTTGAATATTCCAGCACGACTTCTGGTGAGCATGTGATGAGTGGGCTTTATAGTGATAGGCTGTGGGGATGGGGAATTTGACGGGCTGGCCGACGTAGAGGAGGAGGGGGGTGGGGAGGTAATATCGGGAGGTGGAGAGGAGGTATATGTGGGAGAGGAGGGGACACTGCATGGATTTGTAATTGTGGCACGTGGGGTGTTGGAGGGTGTGGTGTCACCTTGTAGAAAATTATGGATAAAGGGGTGAGCAGAGTCATCAGGAAGTGGGGTAAGGAAGTGGGGTAGGCAAGGAATGGGATGCGGAATTGATTTTATAGGGAAAATGGTTTTCTAGGAAAGTAACGTGCCTGGAAATAATTATGGTATTGGTTTGAGGGTCATAGCATTTATACCCTTTATGGTTAGGAGGGTAGCCAAGAAAAATGCACGGAGTAGACCGGGATTGGAGTTTATGAATTTGATGTGGTGGAGTATGGGGAAAACATAGACACCCGAAAACACGTAAGTGAGAGTAGTCGGGAACTCTATGAAATAAAATTTCGGTAGGGGAGGCGAAGGAGAGGGTTTGGGAGGGAAGAATATTGTGGAGATAAGTGGCCATTTGGACGGCGTGAGGCCAGAAAGTATGGGGAATAGAGGCATGCAGTAGTAAAGTACGGGCAATATTATTGATTGACCGAATAGTACGTTCAGCTCTACCATTTTGGGGTGAGGTGTATGGACAAGAGAAACGAAAATGCATGCCATGATTAAGCCCGTGTTGACGGAAAAGAGAGTTATCAAATTCTTTGCCATTATCACATTGGAAAACTTTAATATTACGCTCAAATTGTGTGCGTATATAAGTGTGAAAATTGACAAAGGTAGAGAAAGTTTGAGATTTATTATGGAGAGGAAAAATCCACAAAAATTTACTATAATCGTCAAGAAATAAGACATAATATCGGTGTCCCGAAGAACTTAAAACGGGTGAAGTCCATAGGTCACTATGTATTATATCAAACGGAGCATATGTAGTAGTCCTAGAAGTAGGAAATGGAATTTTAATATGCTTGCCTAGTTGGCACGAGATACATGAAGCAGAACATACTTTATTACAACTTACAAGTAATAAATTTATTAGTGCTAAGATGACTAAAAATGGGATCCCCTGGATGACCCAGACGATTATGCCAGATATCCGCCGAGACAGCCAAGAAGGATGATGCAAAACTAGAAGAAGCAACTGTGGATGGGAGGACGGGATATAATTCTCCTGAACTATTACACCTCATGACCGGAATGCCCGTCCGGAGATCCTTCACAGAAAAACCAAACGGGTCAAATTCAATTGAAACATGATTATCCGTAGTGAAACGACGGACCGAAATTAAATTTTTAACAAGACCGGGGGCATGAAGAACATGACGAAGA